AGAATAAAAGTTTCCATGGAAATGCTTAATTAATTGATTTGAAAATAAATATGATGAGAACTATAGTTAACTTGATTTCAAATATTGAATAAAATCATCTAACAACAAGAGTATTCGATAAATAATGTTCTTTGTTTTTCCTATTTATATGAATTAAAATCTAAACGAGAATCCTCCCTCCAAATTAATCATTATATTGACTTCCTATATAACACAGAAATAAATAATTTTTTTTCAATCATAACCAACTTCTTTAGTTATTTATATAAATTACAGAGTTTAATTAAATTAAATTAAATTATATAATAATAATAATTGTTCCAACATCATCTTTCTCTTTATTACTGTTCTAATATAATGAATCTATTTATACCTTATTTGAGTCTACTTAGAGCTGCTAGTATCTTTAGTTTTATTCTGCATATTTTAAGAACCTTTGCTAAATGGCCACTATGTTATAACTAAATTAAAAGTTTTTGAATTATTTTAATAAGATATTACATCCTTATTATATCTCGGTTCTATGATTTTTTAAATCAATAGGATTTTTTGGATTATGAGATTGCTCCATTTCTCAGTAAGCAGATCTAACTTGATATTCGACTACTCGTAAAATATATTTCATAGTCATCCTTTGGTGAATAAAATAGAAAGTAATCAATAATTTGTATCTGAAGAAATCTAGAAGATGATAATGCTAATTTTCTTTTGGATTATTCCTTTTAATTTTGAAAGCAAGAAAATATTATATGAATTAAAGAAATTGACATTTCACTCAAATCCATTTCTAATCATATGAATCATGAATTTAAACGTAGGCTATATTTGCAAATGAAAGTTTAGTAACTCATCTATGGTTAGGCAAGCTTGCAAAAGTTTATATCCAATCATTTAAGGTATTTTTTCCTTTGTTTTGCCAGATATTTCAATATAATTTTATGAATTGCCTAAAGTATTACATTAAACTAGGATAAATCAAAATAGAAGATTTAAGGCTGGGGGAACTTAAAAAGATTTGAACTAAATTTAATTTCTCCGAAGGCTCTAAAGCGCCATTAGATAGGATAGTTTTGTAAACTAATGCCTAAAGCTTTAATAAATGAGTAATCAAAAAACCTTACTAAAATTTTTAATGACTTTAGCTATAGAATAGCACGATTAAGATCATTAATATTGACTTGAACTTTAAGAAATTTTTTTTTCAAAAAATAGCATTTTAGAACTAATAAGCTTTATAATATTAATATGTTCTGGAAACTTTAAAAATCAACAAGAAGAAGGAGAATATTTATTTCTATCTAAAGTACTCGACATTCAAAGATCAATATTATTTCTAAATTTCTTTATAGGCTTCTTCTCTTAATGATTTTCAGAATATTTCTCAAATTAGATCATCTTCACTTTTTAAGCTCAAAACCTATTAAATTTTGTGAACTATCTTTTGTGATTATAACAAATATCCTTAAAGTAATAAAAGCTATTTTTAGCGTTAAACAATTTCACTATCCAATTAAAAGTTGATATAAAAATAATTTGAAAATATCAAAGATTCTCTAAAATACAGATAATGAAAAACTTTAACAAAATTTTCATCCTCTTTCAATTTTTTTCACATCAAAATAATTATATTTCTACAACCTCTTAAAATGGGTTTGGTGTTAAAATATGCTGATCTTGACTAATACTCTCCTTTTTCTCCAGAAGTAGCATCTATTGGTACCTAAACATGAAATATTCTAGTTTAAAATAGAACAAAGAGATGTAGCGCGCATTTTCAAGTTTAGAAGACAAAAAAAAACGAAAGCCTTATTTCCGAATTGTGAGTAGCAAAGGTTCAAGATGCTAAGATGTATTATAAAATGTCTCCCTATTTAGCCGCAGGGAATTATAGCTTTTAGTGTAGGAGGATACAGTTTATGCCCAATCATATAATTAAAAGTTCTTCTATGATTTTTTTTTCTAAAATTAGTTGTTTTCTTAAATATCTTTATTTTCTTTTCTGATGAACAATAACTCTCTAAATTACTTACATACTAATGATATCCTATATGATCAACTTCTAAGAGTTTAAAAGTCTGCGATTGCTATGCAGGAAGTATTGAAATTTTGGAATTAAAATTTACATGAAATAATTAAGATTATATTCGCGCAAGCATATCTTAATAACGACAATCTTTACCTAAAATTTATTTTCTCCTCAACATAAAAAATAATTTAATTGAGTTTAAATCACTACTAGATGGTAATATAAATCATATTGAAATGGTGTTTAAAAAACAAAATTAATAAAACTTAATTTTTGTTGTATATTAAATGAATTTTTATTAACATAATATTTTCTAAAATCTACACATAAATAATTGTCAAACTATCTATGAAAATGAAAACTCCGTAGGCTTCGAGAATAGCAATATTAGAGATATGGAAAAAAAATGACCCTCATTTAGAAAAACTTGTTTGAAAATACTAGTGGTTAAAACTATCTTAGAATATTTCTTAAACCATTATCTAAAGGTAAGATTTGATGCTCAGATTTTATATTCTCATAAACGGATAGAGTTATCTTTACTCTTAACATCCTCAAAATAGATGGAGAACTAAGTTTTTCAGTAAAACCTCAAAATCATAGCTTTTAAAGAAATAAATTGATTTATTTCAAGCAGAATCATTGATGCAACAGAGCTACAATTTTGATGTTTTTACTGAGTAATCTAATTGATTGGATGAGATACATAATCTGTTTTATATTTTTATATATACTTAAAGAATCAATTAAGCATAAATTTATGTGAATTTTTAATTCTATACTTTACATCAACTCTAAAACTTTACAAAGGTTGCTTTCATCCTAATAAGTTGATAAAACTACTTTGTCGTTTTAAGGTAAAAACAAAAAATATAGTAAAAATATTCAATATTATTTTTAAAAAAGGAACATGAAGTGTTAATATGATAAAAATGAAAGCTTATATGTACTTTTAAGTTAAACAAAAAATGTTGATGAATCAATCCTACATGTCCTCATTTAGATATTAAAAAGGGAGAACAATTAAGACTGTATAGAATTTCTCTCATAAGATTAAAATCAAAGGCAAGTCGAATAAGAAATATTATAGGTAAAAATTCTTCGCTATTAGATTAGTAAGAGATGTTAAATGTTGAAAAGAATGACATTGATAAAGTATCAAATGTTCTCAAAACAATTAAGGATCATGATTTCAATAGAGATGATTACTCGGTTGAAGTATATGAAGAAATTAAAGAAGATCTAATCAAAAAAATATCATAGAATAGGAAGATTATTGCATTATTAAAATTTTTAGTTCATCTTACTGCTTTAGATGAGAGATATTTATAATGTGGATCAAATTCTCTTCATTTATTAGTAAAAATGAAGGTTGATTTAAAAGTATAATGTTTTGAAAATATTAAAATTCGAAATACTTCACTATTAGGAGCAAACTTTGTAAGATGTGACTTAAGTGGATCTGAATTTGACAATGTCAATATTAGTGGAATGAATTTAAATTAAAGCAAATTATTTAATTGTAAGTGGAGGAATTTAAGAATACTTGAGGTGATGAAGTTAATTGTTCATAATAAACAGGTCACTTCAGTTAGCTTTTCTCCAGATGGCAAGTCATTAGCTTCTTGCCATGATGATGGCATTCGCTTGTGGGATGCTAAGACAGGAAGAATATAGTCTGTATTATAAGGAAAGAGATTGGCAAAATCTGTATGCTTCTCGCATGATAATACTACATTAGCTTAGTGTAGTGGTTAATTTGTGTTTATATGGAATCTTAAAGGAGAAAAATAAATATCGAAATTTATTGGTCATACTGACACTATTAATTAAGTTTGTTTCTCTCCTGATGGTACTACTTTAGCATCTGGTAGTGATGATAATTCTATTCGTTTATGGGATGTTAAGACAGGATAATAAAACGTTAAGTTAGTTGGACATTAGAATTCTGTACAATCAGTCAGCTTCTCTCCTGATGGTACGACAGTAGCATCTGGTAGTGATGATAGATCCATCCGTTTATGGGATGTTAGGACAGGATAATAAAAAGCCAAATTTTTAGGCCATTATAATTCAATTAAATCATTATGTTTCTCTTCTGATGGTGGAAATTTATTAGGAGGTGGAGATTGTTCCTTCCGTTTATGGGATGTTAAAACAGGATAATAAATAGCCTAATTAGATGGTCATACTGCTTCAGTTTTATCTGTCTGCTTCTCTCCTGAGGGTACTGCATTAGCATCTGGCAGTGAAGTTAACTCAATCAGTTTATGGGATGTTAAGACAGGAGAATAAAAAGCAAAATTAAATGGTCACACAGATGTTGTGCTATCAGTCTGCTTCTCTCCTGATGGTACCGCATTGGCATCTAGTAGTAGAGACGGCTCTATTTGTTTATGGGATGTTAAGTCAGGATTAGAAAAAGCCAAATTAGATGGTCATGATGATTCAGTTTTATCAGTCTGTTTCTCTCCTGATGGTACTGTATTAGCATCTGGAAGTGGAGATAACTCTATTCGTTTATGGGATGTCAGGACTGGATAATAAAAATCTAAATTAAAAGGTCACACAGATTTTGTTCATTCAGTCTGTTTCTCTCCTGATGGTTCTACATTAGCATCTGGAAGTGATGATAATTCTATCTAATTATGGGATGTTCAGACAGGTTAATAACAAGCTATACTAGATGGCCATTAAAATTCAGTTCTATCAGTCTGCTTCTCTCCTGATGGTACAATATTAATATCTGGTAGTTGTGATAAGTCTATCCGCTTATGGGATGTTAAGACAGGATAATAAAACTAAAAATTGGATGGTCATACTAACACAATTTATTCGGTTTGCTTCTCTCCTAATGGCAGTACTTTTGCATCTGGAAGTTCTGATGGGACAATCTGTTTATGGGATGCTAAGACTGGATAATAAATAGCCAAATTTGATAGTAATTAAAATTCGGTTCAGTCAGTCTGTTACTCTTGCAATGGTACTACTTTAGCATCTGGTGGTAGAGATGGTTCCATCTGTTTATGGGATGTCAAGACAGGATAATAAAAAGCTAAATTAGATGGTCATTAAAATTCAGTTCTATCAGTCTGCTTCTCTCCTGATGGTACTAGATTGGCCTCTGGTAGCGATGATAAGTCTATCCTTTTATGGGAAGCTAAGACAGGATAATTAAAAGCAAAACTAGAGGGCCATTAGAGTTCAATTCAATAAGTATGTTTCTCTAGAGACGGTACTACATTAGCTTCTGGTGGTGGAAGTTTATTAGATGGCGGAGATTGCTCCATCCGCTTATGGGATGTTAAGACAGAACAGGAAAAAACTAAAATAAACAATTATGACAATTCATTTCAATCGGTTTTTTCCTCTTCCATTGGTTTTATATTAGCATCTGGTAGTGATGATAATTTTCGTTTATGGGATGTTAAAAAAGGATAACAAATCTTACCTTCAGGTGATCGTTACAAAGGTATTTTAACTAAAATTTCAACTCCTATTATTAATACCTATGATCTTCTAAACAGTAGTATTTCATTTTACAATTATTTAGCTTCACCTAATATTACCATACATCAAATTTCCTTACATCCAAATTTAGAAGTTTAAGGAGCTTTAATCTTGAAAGGAGAATTTCTAAATTATCAAGGTGTAGATTTAAGATAATTACTCAAATCTAAAGGTAGTTTGATCATAGAAAATTTAACAGAATAAAAGCAAATGTGATTTTTATAATATACATTCAATGTCAATTACAATTAGGCTTAGAAATAATTCTCAAATTGTGTTAGTAAATGTTTGAGATTTTATTTCTTAAATTTAAGAAACTTAATATAGAGTTATAAATCTTTATTGCTAAGCTTATAAGTTTAGCTTATCTAAAAGTTAAAAAAGTATAAATGAAATGTGAATATTTTGTTTAGAGATTAATTTTTCATTCTAACAAATTAAGTTTTTACATATTTACAACAATAAAGTTGGATAATCATTTTAATTCTTTTATTTTATTTATAACGGTCTAATATTACACATTTATAATTAGACTTTTTCAAATTATTTTATGAAATAATAATTAATGTTTAGAAACAAATATATTTTGGAGTTGTTACATACAAATAATTATTAGATTATAAACAAAAATAAATTAAATGAACTTACTTATCAACTATCTAATTTCATAAATTCAAAACCATAAGCATTACTACAGCATTAGATATGCGTTAACCCAATCTAAAATGAAACAAGTACACATTTAAATCCATAAGAAAAAATGAGCAGAGAGGATAAAAATTTTCTGAATTATAAATTTATCTGCTTTGAAATCTTATGAATTGTCTCCTCGATCTTTATATTCTTTTCAATCAATCAATTCAAGATACGCTCGCAACTAAACGCTGCTTAAGGAGTGAAATTTCAAGATTAACAAAAAAATTTGAAAATTCATGCACAGATTACTTTTTGCTAGATACTCAAATCTACTTTCAAAACCTCTCGTTTTCACACTTTTTTGAAAGCCCTAACTACACTAGTAGGAACTAGCTACCTTTCCTGTCTTATTCCAGTCTCGTAAAAGCCCATAGTTGTTTCTTGGTATCATTATAATGCAAACTTTGATCAGCTGGCATAACTACTACTTCAAGTCCTTGTATTCTACATAGAGGGTGATGCTTGCACTATTTTTAGTTTTAAATACTTCATATGGTTAAGTGTATCATAAGAGAATTCTCGAATCCAAGTATCACACTTATTCTCCATTAGTACAAATATTACATCTAATTTAAGGTGAATCATAAGGGAAATTTAGGAATAGTGTGATTTGAAGAATTCCTATAAAGGACAAACATCTTGTGACTGATGTATAAATTGTCAACAAATATTAGTATTAAAGATGTATCGATGAGGAATTGCCATACAGCAAGGATAAGAGTAAGTGGAAGGACATTTACATTTTTAGCACTCTAAAATAACTTCCTTCGCTTTGATGGTTGGCGTCACAATAAGAATGGAAATTAAATTATGAAGTAGAACATGTTTTTGCAAATTGCATCATATACGTGGTTAACAGGTACTAAAAGCTTCAAATGTCATAACAGTAGTAGGAGCAGAAAAACTAAAATTTTCATGTTTGGCATTTTCTGAAATTTCCACTTGAGTAGAACTTAGAAGCATTTTAAATTTTGTTCCTTAAGGTTTATTGCAAAACTATGGTGATGTGATTCTTATAATGATTCTTTAATTATAAATTCTAATTGACTAATTATTAGTATATAGTATTCTAGAATGGAAATTTTGCAATCGTAAAGACAAGAAATTTATCGCTCTTCATCGTTTGCACCACTGCTTAATTTTTTATAAAGGCAACTTTCAATTTTTTAATTAACCCTAAATTTTATGCTTTCAATAAACTCCATTCTAATAGTTAAAAAGAATCCAATAGTAAAATTCTTTCCAATACAGTCTTTCTTTCACTTATCTAATAAGGAAAAGTGCTTTTATATCTCAAAAATAACTTAATAATGGAAGATTAATTCAGGACACTTTAGAAGTTACATTCTCCTAACCATATTAATAATATGATAATTTTAAGATTGAAAGATTCTAGTTGTAGTTGTACCCTTTTTTTAACCATTTAGATTTTATTAAATATATCATTTATTTTGTAAAATTTTGCCCTTTATTTACTTCTCATACTATCAACTCTAATATTCCTATTACTACAGTTTCATTTTAATCTACTATGCCGTCAAGTATATGATCTCAAGTATTCTAATGCTATTACTTACAAATTATTGATCTGTTGTAATTAATTTATTAAAAATCTGTATTTAGAATCTTTCTTGCTTGTAAATTTGAATCCTACTCAAGCAATACATTTCCCTGCTAGTATCTCTGACTAAGGACTCATAATATTTATACTTAAAAATCAATTTATTCTAAGAAAATTTCAACATTTCAAATAGTCTCTATGCAATATCATTATTATTTTCAGGTCATAATCAAATTCAAGATAGTTTAATAATTCAAGTTATAAAATCCTACTTTCACTATAAATAAAATATCAGCACTCACTATTATTTACAGTACTTAATATAAATCTCTTGTTTCTCCTCTCTAATATTAAATATCAACTCGACTTCATATAAATTTGCATAAATAAATTTTATTAAAAAAGAACATATATAGATCCTTTGGATTCTATTTTTAAACCTTAGCTTCCTCTTGCATACTACATTCTAAATTGCTTTATTTTTAAATAACGTTTAATTAATCCTATATTGATAAAGTTATAATCACCTTTAGATTCTTACTAATTTTTTAATTTCTATCTAAAATTTTCACTATTTTTTGTGATATATCCTATGTTATTTAAGCTTAATTCTAATGATTTAAGTCACCAATTGCACCCAACGAACCTTTTTCTCTTCTTATATATTTGTTTTATATTAAGATTTACCGACATTAACTTTAAACTTGAATTTTTCGGTCCCATTATTAGAATTAATTAATTAGAATTCTTGGGTATTTAGAGTTTTGTTTAATTTAACAGATTTGTATTTATGATTCAACCAAGATTTGATACAAACAGCATTAAACTCTATCTCAATTAAAAAAAATTGATTTGAACCTCCCTAAACGAGTTTGTTCATCAATCTTTTCAATGATGCTATTAAAGAATTAGGAGACGATTTCGAAAAATTATAGTCTAGTTTCAGAAAGGAAGACTCAAATTAATCAAATCTTTGAAATTATCTTTTATTTTGTGTTTTTTTATCAATTTAGTGAGAGAGTATAACCATTAGTAATATGACTTATTGAAAGAATCTGACAAATAAAGTGTTTGATTTGTCTCCTTCGTACAATATCAGTAGCTTAAAAAACAAAGGGATTTTGATAATCAAAATATTACTCATAATTTTCAGGCAATTATATTCTTTTGAATATAAATTGAAGTCCTTGAGTAACAATATATTAGGGAAAATAAGAATCAACTTCTGCTAATTAATCCTTTTATTTAAAGGCTATCCTAATATTATCCATTTTAAGCCTAATAAATTACTATATATTTATTTATGAAGAAAGTAATTTAAATATCGATTAGAAAATTGAGAAGTCTGCAAAATAATATTAGATATTGTTCTAATTTCAATATTTGAATGTGTTGAATGTTTTCTCAAAGAAGAAAATAATAAATTGTTAACCTTCCTCTAATCTATTCAAATTGTATATAATTTAGTAAAGGCTTGTGTTATATAAAGTTAATTCTAAAAGAATATCGGTGTATTTATCTTTGATATAATTATAGAAGGCAATTTTCGGATTAATCTAAATTGCAAAGAAATGAAATTCTAATCAATAACTAAAATATTTAGGTTCCTGATATAATTTAATAGCCGAAAAAGCTGAACAAATATAATTATATCTTTACCATTTTAATAATCATGTTCTTAAGTTTTTTCTAAATGAGAAAATACTAATATGCTAAGGCTTCTTCAAATAGTCATGAAGGTTTATAGAGGATCATTCGAAAATAAATTAGCTGCTGTGAGATAATTTAAATATAATCATACCAAAATTGAAGTAATAATCAGGATCTTACAGATGTATTAATCGCTATATCATAATATTTCAATGCTTCTTCAAACCGATTCATTTTTGATAATCCTTTTCTTGAACTTTTTAAGTTAATGTATTCGATAAGTAAGTTGATCAAATATCATAATACCTTTGCCGTTTACTTATTTATTAACATAGTTTTGTTGATCAATATGAAAATTGTATAGGCTAAGAAATTACAACGATTTAAATTTACATTTGTCGCAAAATTATTTAACACCATATGAAATTGTTCTTAAATTTTAATTATTTTATTTTTTTACAACATTTACATATTTTAATGAAAGAGTAATAGCAACAAAATGATTTATATTAATTAACAATATAATTACATTATCATTTATTTTACATAATATACCTATTTAACAACATCATAATCCACTTTACAACATTATTTTTAGTATAATTTTGATTTTATAGTCTTATTTTAATCGAATACAATGTGTAATTTAATATTAAAAGAGAGTGTATATATAACCACCTAAGAGAGATTTTCCTTTAATATAAGGATGAGCTGTGGTATTGATTGATGCGTTACTGAGAAATATTTTAGATTGTATGAAATTGTCGTTAAAAATTAGTTTTGTATATTTATTCTATATTCGGGGAGAAAAAACTTTGAACTAGGTTTTATGGTTTCTTATGATTATAAATTATCTCAATTTCAATAAAATCAAATATTTACAAAGTTTGATTTTCTACCTCTTAAAAATGTGCAAGATACATTTCTGATTTGCAATATAAATCAAAATAAAGGATTAAAAATACAATATTAATTGAATTTCCAAGAATGGGAAACTCCGAGATCAAAAAAAATACAGAATAATTGTAAAAGTAGAAATGGAAAAATGATTTCTATGAGGTTTTAGCTTCATTAATAGATTTGGATGATTAAATTTTGGCACTCATATTTGAAATTTTAAAAAAAGAAAAAATTGAAGACTCTTTGGAATTCCTTTAAGAGTAGGCAAATGAAAGGAGAATTGAAAAATAAATATCACAGATAGAAAATAATTTACTTATGAAAGAAACTAAGAAAGGATATGAAAACAATAATATTAAGTAAATAATAAATTTTCTTAAAAAAATTAAGGATCATGAATTTAATAAAGAGAATTACTCATTAGAGGACTATGAAGAATTTAAATAAGATCTGATCAAAAAGATATCTTTGGATAAGAGGATCACTGAATTATTAATATTTTTAGTTTGTCTTACAGCCATAGATGAAAAATACATTTAAAGTGGATCAAATTCTCTTCATTTATTAGTTGAAATGAAAGTGGATTTGAAGACACAATCTTTGGAAAATATTAAAATTAAAAATACTTCATTAAAAGGGGCTAATTTTGACAGATGTGACTTAAGTGGTTCTGAATTTGACAATGTCATTATTAGCGGAATGAATTTGAATGGAGCCAAATTATTTAATTGTAAATGGAAAAATTTAAGAATAAATGAGTTATAGTAGCTATGTTGTAATTGTAGAGTTAATTCAGTTTGCTTTTCTCCCGATGGAAAGTCATTAGCTTTTTGCTGTGCTGATAATTTCATTCGTTTTTTGGAAACTAGAAATGGAAAAATAAAGTCTGTAATCTAAGGAAAAAGCGAGGTAAATTCTGTTTGCTTCTCACCTAATTTTTCAACATTAGCTTCTTGCAGTGGGAATTTTGTCTGTTTATGGAATTTTAAAACAGGAAAATAAATGTCAAAATTAATTGGCCATACTGATAAGATAAAGAAAGTCTGCTTCTCTCCTGATAGTACAACGTTGGCCTCTGGTAGTTGGGATAATTCTATCAGGTTATGGGATATTAAGACAGGATAATAAAAAGCCTAATTAGATGGACATGCTCATTATGTTAACACAGTCTGTTTCTCCCCTGATGGTGCTACATTAGCATCTGGTAGTGTAGATAACTCTGTCCGTTTATGGGATATTAAGACAAGATAATAAAAAGCTTAATTAGACGGTCATAGTGATTGGGTGAATTCAGTCTGTTTCAGTCCGGATGGAATAGCATTAGCATCCGGTAGTGATGATAAGTCTATTCGCTTATGGGATGTTAAGAGCGGAATGCAAACAGCCTAATTAGATGGTCATACTGGAGAAATTTTATCTGTCTGTTTCTCTCCTGATGGTACTACATTAGCATCTGGTAGTTCAGATAATTCTATTCGTTTATGGATTGCTAAGGCAGGACAATAAAAAGCCATACTAGGTGGTCATACTAATTTTATTCAATCAGTTTGTTTTTCTCCAGCTGGTACTACATTAGTATCTGGTAGCAATGACAGCTTTATCCGTTTATGGGATTTAGAAATAGGACAATAAATCTTACTTTAAGATAACCATTATAAAGAATCTGCGGTATAATTTCAAACCCCTAGCCTTAAAAACTACACTCCTCCTGAAAGTGGTATTTATTTTTATAATTATTTAGACTCTTCTCACATTAAAATCCTTCGAATTTCCTAAAATCACAATTTAGAAGCCAAAGGAGCCTTAATCTTGAAAGGAGAATTTGTAAATTATTAAGGTGTTGACCTGAAATAATTATTCAGATCTAAAGGAAGTTGCATTTTAGAAAGCTAAATTGGATTGTGATAAAATGGATAATTTTTAATTAGAAAATAACAAATATCGAATCATTTATTTTTCACTATTTTTTTACATTCTATGAATTTAGCTCAAAGTAATTAGTAAATTCTAATTCGCATGAGATTATTAAGCATTAGTAGTCAATATGTTATTAATGAAGTATGATTGCAAATTTAATTATATGAAAAAGTTTTAAACTCTACTTAAATCAATATAATACGGGCTTGTATATTTTTCTTGTAGTGATAATAATTCTATTATTTTATTATATCTTTAGTCAGAAGGATAAATCTTACTTTACGCGGTCCCTTTGACGGAATCAAGCTGATGAAGATAGCTTTCATTATTTCTTATGATGAGGCTACATCAAAAATTACAATTCATAGTGTTTAGTAATATCCAATTATTTAAAGGAAAAGGCTAAATACAAGGGAAGATTTGTAAATTTTTCATAATTTAACTTGCGATCATTATTCAAAAGAAAGTGTGTTTGATTTTATATAATTTAATAAAGTGTTCAGAGACAACAAATTTAATAAAAGAAAATCAAATTTCTATTTATGAAAATAGACAGAGTATTTAGGGATATAAATTAAAAATAGGAAGGTTGATATATTAAGTTAAACTTTATAGTTAAGGTATTAGCCTTGTAACAAAAAGCGACCCTTGATAGATTAGTGTAATTAAAATTATTCTTTAAAAAAAAAATACAGATAAATATGATTTGGGTTGATATATTCAAATTAAAAATAAATTTTAAATGAGATTAATCTGTGTTAAGTTTTTCTTATGGAATGGATTCATTTAATAGTATATCTAGATAAATTGATAAGAATTTAAAAAAGATATTATTTTAAGAAATGTCTGCCTTATATTTTAAATTAAGTTAGTAAAACTAGACAGTTAAGTACCTTTAAAAAGGTAATTTATTTAATTAATCATTGCACTTTTAGTTAGATTGATTGCTCAATAAATTTATTAGTTGGGTAGTTTTAGGTTAAAATAATTATTTTTTTAGTTATCAGAATGACTTCTTAATTTTCAATAAGTGAATGAAAATGTTATTTCCTAATTGAAATTAATAAAGTGATCTATGAAATAAGAAGGTTTTAATACTTCAAAAATCAACTAAGGAGCAGCCAGAACAAAAGATATAAGCCCTTGAAACAGTGGGATCTTTGAACGATAGAACATAATTCCAAAATTATTGTAAGAAATCTCTAAAGATAGGGATGTAAAAATAATAAAGTTTTAGACGAATCTGCTTACAATTCTTTAGATATAAACCCATAGTGGTTCACTTGTGCTAAAGTGGGATTATGCTTAGGGTTTAATCTGAGGTCGAATTTTTCTGGAACTTAAAAGGTGAGATAGAAAACAGTTTAATCCAAAATGCAAAAAAGAATAGAGAGGTTGTACAAGAAAGGAGACAAGCATCATAATTAATTTAAAAGTTGCATGCTACACTGGACATTTTGTAAAGTCATGTTAGTGGGATTCAGTAACAACTGGGTGCATATTAAAAGAATTTTTCATATCTACCTATTTGCTTGCAAGTCGATTAAATGGAAAATGCTCAAATGCAACTCAATGCAAAAATCAAAGTCAAACCAACTTTTAGTTAATATAACTATGATATTTGCTCATGAATTGCTTAATATTTAAATGCTAATTCCCTTCTTGGAATCTATTTCTTTTACTGCTAATGCAAGAGTTTTGATCCTACCTCTAATATCTTTATTCACAAAATTCTACCATCTTTGTCTTCTTTCAATTATTTTCAGATCCGCATAAACAACAATATTTAAAAAAATAAAATAATATATTTTATTAAAATTGAATAGATTAAATTTTTCCAATATATATTATTCTAAAATTGATAATATTTAACGAATAACACTATTAATAATTAATTCATTCAGTTTTACTAATTCCAAATCTTATTTGCTATCAAAAGAAAAAAAAAATAAACTGTAAAAATGCATCCTCATTGAGTGTGCATTCAGCTGACTTTAATGCATATAAGAGAGAGTCTTCCTTTTGTTGAATAATGGAATTAATCGCCACCATTATATGATATTCCATCATTATAATATTCAAGAAATCTTCTAAGCAATCAGGGAGCGAAGGGATTAATTAAATGCATTGACATTTCTTGAAAATTCATTCAGGCTCTTAATCAATATAAATTAATTCACATCATAATAGTCATTTTAATAACAAGTTCATTACAACACTTAAGGTAAAATGCTGCTCATACTTTAGAAGTCTGTTTTGGAATTAACACTTGTCATTAAAAAGCACAGAGTCATGTTTTTCAACATGCCATATGCAATTTTTAGTCTAATTTTAAACTCTATTCCAAATATATTCATATTTACGCGTTTCCCAATTTTAGTAAGTACATAATTTCAAAGTTGGGTTTGATGATATAAGATTTATTTTTTTCTTAATTTTGTGGCTTCTTTTTAATAATTCACTTATGGTTAATCTTTCACTTAGATTAGACGTTAGTCTAACTAATTATTCAATTATTGATTTCATTTAGGCTGATGTAAAGAAGCATAACCTAATGTCTTTTTCACTGTAAATTGATATGGCTTCTGCCAATTTAAAACTTCTTTATTTTAGTATTATTTCATTATTATGTTATGCTTCCTTTTGGAGGAAATCAATACGGTTGAATATTTGAAAAATTTAACTCTTACAATAAAAATAGTTAGTTTTCTTAGTTGAAATATAAATGATAAGTGCAAAAATTGAAAAAAAAAAAGATATATTCTGAATATCTAAACATTAATTCAAAAAGATTTACAGAATTATTAATTATTATTATGATTTAACAAATTCTATTTTAATAGATAGTCTTGTCTTTCAAATAATAAATTTTATTTTAACCCATACCTAAATCAAAATTTTCAATTTACAATCGGTGAAATTCCAATAGGAAATTATCTCAAATTTCCATCAATAATTTTACCCAAAACCTCCACATTTTATCATTCCTTGTTCATTAAGCTTTCATAATAGTAATAAAAATTCATTTTGGGAGATGTAAATAATATCTATTCGGGTAGATAATTGTACTTAAAGAAAACCGTTAGATATTTAAGAATCAGCTCGTAGTGAATTTTCATATTTAAAGCTTAATAGCCTTATGAGTAAACCATAAGTAAAACAATAATAACTTACGAAGTTAATTTCAATTTCATTTGATCAAATAACAAATTTATGTATTCTTTATTACATAGAAGAAAATTTATTTTGTTGAATATTATAATTGGTATATTTATTCAATAATGTGTCTTCCAACTGATTATTTGGAATTCATCGTCAACATAGAGTAGATCCTCATATTAATGGGAGGCATGGGTAGTTTAGGCTATACTATAAACTTATAGGTTAATTCTGACATCGCAATAGAAGATGAAGTATATATTTGTCTGATTTGAAGGAATATTCCTATGGATATGGAAAAGGTGTTCTGGTTGCTTTTTGGATTATCTCTTCTTCAATGGCTCTAAATGGAGTAATTGGAAACTTCGCAAGAAAGAATAAATTAGGTTGTCTTATATTAAACTTCAATTTGATAAATATTGCATTATTTACTTGGATTTATTGGTCTTATGATTACAGGATATGTGTTGGCAAATGGCATTAGAAATATAGATTAGGTTAATTATTGTTCAAATAATCCTTCTTTATAACAAACTTGGGAATTAGGGTAGAATCTTTTATGTTCATCTTAATGTCAATGCTACAAATAATTTAAGTAATTTTATAAATTTTAATTTAATTTACTACTCTTTGCTTTTTTAAAGGTAATAATTTCGAGAACTAAACAATTGTTTCAACTTCTTGAAAGATTTATAACATTTTAATTAATCATTCAACCTGTGTATCAGAAAGGACTCTATTTACATTCCACCATCATATACTAATTCAACAACAGATTAATCAGCTGTATAAAATATTTAAAAAATAGGCAACAAAAGTTTAAGATTGTGATTATTATAAAATGAATTGGACAGAAACTTAACAATCAAAAGCTATCTTTTTTTAAAATCTTGAAAAAAATAAGATTGTTCAGGATGGTGTACTTCATTTTCTTTTATAGATATTTTACGATATCAATAACAATTTTAATTAATTGGTAAACAGTCATCTCTAAAATTAGTATTAATGCTTATTTTTGTAACAATAATACTTAGGGAAAACTAGCTAAGTCATTGGTGATTTTTCAGCTGGAATGATTGGATTTATTGCTCTAATAATTAATTGAATTTTTTTTCTGTTGTCATCCAACCAAAAAAAATTAGGACTATTATGAAAGATTAATTAATTTTGATTCATATGATTTGTTTCCATGATAAAATAATTAAAAAATATACTAGCTTCTTATGCATTCTTGTTTTATTAACATCAATCTAATTAGATAAGATGGTATGAGACTATAGTTAGAATTCGTTAGATAGAATTAGTTAATGCTATTTGCTAATAACGATATGAAGATGGATTAATTACAGCTTTATCATCAGAAAATGTGATGATTTTAATTAAATAGATGGAGATGGATGCTATCAAAGTTCTTTAATTTGTTTATATTTTCAATATTGAATTTGTCAAAAGGGGGGTTTTTATTGGAAAGAAAACTTTGAATAGTTATAGAATTAATTGAATATTATTTTTGGAGATTCATTATAGTTGAAAAGTTAGAGGAATACAGGGATGGAAAAAATGAAATATGATGGCTGAGATTAATATTAGCTCCAATTTAACTTTGATTGTAAATTTTTTTATAAGAATGGACAACAAAAATTAATAAGAAGACTCTAATTCATAATAATTGCAATTAATGAATCTTACTCTGCTAGGTAGATATATGTTAAAATGCGAAAAATACTCAAACCTTGAAAATGGCTAATGCATTAGATGTGGCCATATAATCAGAAGATGAGTAGTTGATGCTCAAATTTAGGTTTGATAGAATAAGATTGCAATCTTTCAATCCTTAAATTAAATCAAAGTTATAGGATTTTCTCTTAAAAATTTAGAACATAAATCATTTGATACTTAACACAGAAGTTAAGACTATAAAGAAAGTCAAACTTTATGAATTTAATTCATTTTTCTTGGATTAAATATCAATTGATATTTAATATAAACCAAATTCAGTAAATTATGCTAATGCTCAAATATCTTAAAAGTTAATTGTTAAGTGATTTCAACTAACACCTTTACTGATCTAAAACTTCTTTTAATTCTTGCAACCATTCGAAATACTAAACTTAAAAATATAATAATTTTATTTTATTATTTCATTAAAAAAAATTCATATTTACCTCTAATTAATTTACAGGTAAAACCTTAGTACTATTATATTTTGCAATTATTTTTAATGATGTTATAAGTAGCTTTTATTTTATTAGATCAATCTTGATGGTTGCAATGAATGAAGCAGCAATAGAAAGAAAATATATATTGTTCTTCATGGTATTTATAATCGAATTGTAAATTAGATTGTTTTACTTTTATGAACAATGCGTTTTGCTCTGACATCTCAAACTGATCACTAAAACAAATATATTAATAGCATTTAAATGTATTGGATTACTTCTTGTTGGGTTATTTGCCCTATTTTTAATATCTTAAATAGTTAATTAATACTATAACTTAGAATGCAAAATCAAGCTAACCAAAGAAATAATTTATAAATATTTTTACTCAATTCCCCTTTGATTAAAATGAAGATTAGATCACTTTTAATGATCTAAACAAACCTTAGATTATGTTTACCCTCTAATTTTTCTTTATCTCTATACACCCTGAAGATTATATTCTCTATTTGCCTAAATATCTCTCTACCATTATGAACACATTGGTTTACTAGAAGTTGTCTAATCATCTATTCTAAAGGATGAAAAAATAATATAATAATCAGTATAGGTGATTATATGTTAATTCTAAAATAATAAAAAAACCCTAAGGATGACTTAGAAATTGTTCAATAGTTAGGTTAATTAACAATAATGTAAAAATAATTTATATAAAGAAATACTTTAAACAGCATTTTGTACAACTATTAGTATAGATATAATATTTAAGCTAAGTAAGAAATATTAGACGAATTTATAAGATAATTTAGTAGTCTTATTTCAACAATTTTATTACTTTCTTTTTGGTAACATGAATTGATTACTTTGTTATATAATACATCCCAATATATACACTAGTGATATTCTTCATTAATTTTTTGCCTTTAAAATTTTGGGCATTAAGATTGGAAAATGGATTGGATTAAAGAGAAATATTTAATGGAGAATATAATAAATAAGCTGGATTAGTAGTTTTAATTTAGTAAAAATGATAAGTTAATTTTAATTTTTTACTTACTAAGCAATTTATATAAATGATATCACTTAGGAATAAAAAGTAATTTCATCTTAAGTTGATCGAATAGCAGAATTCTATAATTACAAAATAATTAAGGACTACTGAAGTTCAAATTGTTTAATCACTTTTTAATAAAAATATTTAAATAATAGATTTGTTATAATGTTTAAAAAAGTATAATCATGCTTAATCGTTCATATTCTAAGAGGAATTTAATAAATAAACCTTGGATATCTTTCTGAAAATCTATATTTCAAATTCCTTCCTTGATGTTTAGAACTAAGAAGAAAAATTGTTAGATATCATGATAAAGGACTAAAGTTGGAGCTGATCTGCTTCCAAAAATGGATTATGGGAGAGCTCCTTTGAAAAACTGTAATCCTTCCTTTATAAGAATCTAGACTGCGTAATTAAAAAATAATAATGATTAAGAAATCCTTTATTGCATTATCATTTTTATTCTTACTATTTCAAATGAAAAGGAGATGACACTAGACGTAAAAGAGATAAAGTAAGCAATACAAAATTTTGCACCTAAATTGTTCATCATAGAATCTTTTTGAATATAGTACCCTTCGCTCTGTCATAACAACCAAAGGAGAAACATGTATAGACTTTGATTTCCAAAGCAGAAATTCTTAAATCTTTATATTGTACTACCAAGCCATCTGACTTATCTATGTGGCAATTTAATTTTCTAAATTGAAATATTAGATGTCTTTGAAATAGCAAAGGATACAAAGAAATCTCTTATGAAATCATTCATTATGAAAAATAAATAAAGCTTTGATTTCCACATTAATCAAATATTTTAAATTTTTTGTTAATTTAAGTTTTCAATCAAAAATTAATTTGAAGAGAGTTGCCTATTATGTAAAATGTAATTGTTATTAAAGCAGAATATATAAATACTTTCAAGCTGATAAGTAATATTGGATTAGTGGTTTGTTCAAAAATAGACTGTGAAATCTTGTATAAATGAAGAATAACACTATTGCAGTAAAAATTTATTCACAATTCTGATGGTCAGGGTGAGTTATTTGAATTAATCTGATGCTTATTTTATAACATGAACTTTATTGTAAATTTCATCCATATCACTACTCTCATATAAAAATCTGCCTGATTTGATTTTTAAAGCAATTAAGAAATATTGAATATTCTATAATCAAATTAGAAGTTTTGAAACGAGAATTTATTGATCCAGCCATTAGATTGAATATTCTATAATTTCTCTAAACGATCAGACTATTACAATATCCATCATTCGAAAACCCATATAATAACTTCTAAACAGAAAGATTTTCAATACTTGGTTATTACCATTTTATTTGGGTTCAATGATTTGCATCCTCTACAAGAAACTTAAAAATGCATCATTAATTATATAAAAATATGAAATAAGTAATAATTCAAGGACATAAATTTAAATACTAAAACCTCAAATCGAACTTAATAAAATTTAAAAATAATAAATTAGCGAATATTTAAGAATAACAAGAATTCAAATTAAGAACAATGAGGAAAAATAAACTAAACTAAACAAAATAAAATAAATATTTCAAAAGGAGTCATTAATATTTAAATTAGCTATTTTAAATTTATTTTAATTAAATATTCAAATTCAATAATCATAGTCAATTTGTCTTTATTATTAGGTGTCTCTCATTTCCAACCATTTACCTACTTTTTTACCATTTTGATATTCTCCATTATAAGTGATTTCAGAACCTAAGCCGAAAATCTCAGTCGACTCAATCCACTTTCCAATTTTCAGGCCATAACCCTCATCATCATAGGATCCCCCACCACTAAGAAATTTATACTTTTTAATGATTTACATCTATTCATCCCTAAACATAATATCCCATCTGCCAACTTTTTTTCCATCTTTATACTAACCATTGTATGTAATTTCTGAACCTGAAGAAAACTCATCACTCAATTCACCCCAATACCCAATTTTAGTTTCGTTACCATCTTCATGATAGGATCCTCCACCACTAAAACATTTAATTTTCTAATACATCTATTCTTCTTCATTTTCAAAAAACCACCTTCCAACTTTTTTCCCATTTTTATATTCACCATATTAAGTCACTTATACATCCCTCCAAAATGCATAGCTTAACTCAACCCAGTTCCCAATCTTTATTCCATTACCTATTTCATCATAAGATCCACCACCACTAAAATCAATTCTTTTTTATACATCTTTTCTTCTTCAAATTTAATAGCCCATTTACCAACCCTTTAACCATTTTGATATTTACCCTTTTCAGTGACAAATGTCCAATTATCAAACCTATCATTCAATTCAACCCACTTCCCAATCTTATGTCCATTACCTTCGCTATCATACAATCCACCACCACTATTTTATTAAGCTATTTTAATATTGTACATCAATTCTCCTTTTTATTTTATATCCCATCTACCAATTTTCTTACCATTTTTATATGCTCCATTTTAAGTAGCTTTCGAAGCACAAGTACGTCCATCAATTGGCTCTATCCACCTTCCAATCTTATTATTATCTCCTCCACAATCATATGAACCACCACCGCTGCATTATCAAAACAATTTATACATTTATTAAAATTTTATCCCATATTCCTCTTTAAACCAAATATCCCATATACCAATTTTTCTATTGTCTTTATACTCGCCAATATAAAGGATTTACTCATCCTTCCAAAATTCATCATGTAATTCTATCCATTTGCCATTCTTCAAACCTTGATAATCGTAATATCCCCCACCACTAAATAATTGACTATGAATGATACATGATATCATTGTTATATATATACTTCCAAGTTCCCTACTTAATATCATTTATGTATTCTCCTTTTTCATATATTTAAGCTTGACTAAAAATGAATTTTGTAAAAAACCTACATCTAATAATTTTTAGCTAATTCTTTCCATAAGCCTTGCTTTAATCCATTATCATAGTATCCTCCAGCACCCTTAAGCTCTTTACCTTACCAAGTAGGCTGCCAATAACCAACTTTTTTTTTATATTTTTCTCCGTATTGTCCTTCCCATTAAAGATACTTGATCTAATCAACATATTTCAATAATTAAGGATGATTATTAGAAATTTTCAGCTATTCACTTTTAAAATAATAATTAATCTGTACTTTCTCAAAATAGCTCCATCCTCTAAATAAACTAAATTCTCTTTGGTTTGTAGGATTTATATTTTTTTCGTTAAAAGTTAATATTAATTATAAAGTAGCTTTTTAACCTCCAAGTCTATCGTGCCTAATCTCCATATCCTTATATCTTGACAATCTAAATTATTTTAAGCTTGAAAATTCATTTTTATAAAATATATATTGAATTTCTTATTTATTTCCGATAGCTGAAAAGTTATATGAAGTTATTAAACAAAATGAAAATGTATATATTAGAGGGTTTTTTTCATGATAACAATTAAAATAATGATACAAGGTTTAGTCTTATTAAGAATTCTATATTTTGTTGATGTATCAAAGTGGTTGGCATCAATCGTATCTTATTATTATTTTTTTATTTTTTTTCGAATTATTATAGTCAACTGCTAATGAAGTCTGATTTTGGATTCTCTTTTATTACAAATATTATCAAAGTCTTCATAAACATATTATGGTTGATGGTTAATTAAAAATAATCTAATTTCATAGCTATCCTGACTCAGGATCAGTTTTGATTATCAATTAATAGATTTAATTAGCTTGATTTATCAAAAATTGTCTTCAATCATCTACTATAATGATACTAACCTTTTTATTCATATATTATAATGCATAAGATTTTTAAATTAAGCATCAAAGTAAGAAGATCCAATATAAAACGATAATCATTAAATGTGCAAAAGTCCTAATGCAATTATGCTTATATTACTTAATATAATTTCATATTCATAAAGATTGAAAAATAATTATTCCATTAAAAGGGATAATACCCTTTAATTTCAATATCTTACTATTTTACAATTTATTAGTTTAATAAATTCCTTCTGACTCTATTCTTGGAATATGACTCCCAAATTTTTTACAAAAAATATGACCAGTTAATGAGTAGTGAGACTATTTATTAGCCAAAGAATTTTATGAGAGTAGATAGCGACTTTCTAATCATTTCCACTATTATAGGTTGTAATTCCATTCCATAAGATGAATGGCTCCACATTTCGTGTAGCTTAATTCTAACTCCAAACGCATAATCGCTCCATTCCTATGGGTATACACCAATCTTCCTTACTCTACTGGGAAGGAAATAATATTAAAAAAATGAGGTCATAAGAGGATGTTATTTATGGAATTAATTTGGATAGAGTAAATTTCATCAACTAAAATCCAAGATCCTCCAAATTTATTCTGTTATAGAATTTTCATTTTGGTATCGGTATAATGATCCAAGAGAATAGGTTTCCCTGAAAGTATTTAGTTCCAAATCTCAGAAGAATTAACTTCAACTCCCTAAGTATTTAAGGCGACTATTATTCTAGACCGTTTTCGCTATTCACAAATATTTGTCTTAATTCTCCAAAATAATTAGTTTATGGTCAGATATTAACTTAAGAAGGGATACAGATCTCACTTCCTTAAGGGTCTTTCACTAATCAATTGGGGCTTTTAGATCAATTAATTTGTTCTAATTTCTTTGAATTAGGTCTCCGCTATCTCCTAGGACAATAGATATTCTTCATATTTTGTTAAAAGATTTATTTGGATAAGGAATTTAAAAAAAAAATTTTCTTTTCTTCATAAATATTAAAAAATAATTCTAAAGGTAATTTAATCAAATTAATGAATCAGCCTATCTTTAGTCAATTGAAAATATTCTCTCAAATTACCTAACTTTATTGAAATCTTATTTCAATTGGTATTAAGATTTTATGTGAATTTTATAGCAATTAAATGTAAATCATAGAGGGTTCATATTGTGAAGTATATTTTAACTTAAGCATATACAAATTTTTGTACTCAAATATATGATATACTATCAAATTCTAAAGAATCTGGCTTTTAATAATTGAGTAGATGTTCCAATCTTTAGGATTGCAAATTGAATTTCTTTTATCTAAGAAATGTTAATCATTTTAGTTTGCACAAACCTTAAAAAAAACTACGCATGGAATCCTAAATAAGCCAAAATTTATATGGAATATAATTAGCAACTATTAATTAGGTTGAATTAACTAATACTTTTTTAGGGAAAATTATTTTATGCTGAAAAGTGTATTTATTGATGATGGATCTTATCTTCTAATTGGCTATATAATTAAAAAGGTAATTGGATTGATGAAGACCTTGATATAATAAGGTGTAAATAAAATTGTCATTACATCTAGGCTTCAGATTAAATTTAAATAAATTACTCATTTAAATTAATAGTTTTAATTTGAGTTTGTGCTAAGAATTAATTCAAATTTAAGAAATTTGAATAAATCAATTTAAAAAGAAACATCACTTTTTATTATCGAAATTGTTCTTGCAAATTTACTAATGTCTGAGAAAATGAATGAAATAAAAGAGTTATTAGATTTTCGATAATAAATAACTTAATCTAAATGACTACTTTCTCTTATCATCTTTGAAATCAGAAGCAAATTAATCATTATTTCTAAACTTTCTTTGCTCTTGATAATAAATCTACAAATTAAACTATTTTGTATGATAACATGATTTAAAAGTTTTTATAAAAGATCATAAGATTCTTTTCATCTCATTTGAAGAAAAGCCAATACTATTAATGAATAATTGGATTTAAGAGAGAAATGGCATTTTGAAACAACAATAATAGTTTCTATAAGATGAAATTAAAAATTTTTATTTTATTAAAGCAGTATTAGTTTAATAAAATGATAACCTTATCAAAATGCTCTTCCAAATCCTCTTTAACATTCAAAAATAAAGAGGTTATTCAATGTTTAATAGCAATTTTCACATATCAGAAGCATTTAGTATATGTAATTAAAGAAAAAATATTCAAGGCAAGTATCGAAAACGATTTATTATTTGACAGAATTACAAATTGGATCAAACTCAAATTATAACAAATAACTCCCAAATTATCTAGCTATATAAATTGGAAAACTATAGTTGAGATGATTCTATTTGTTTTGGCAAGGATTTATTTGTTCTTTTAATTGAATTTTTAACTTTTCATAATTAAATTAAAAATATGGAAAATATGTTTTGTCAGGTTTTTGATATGAAGACTCTGTACTCAGTTATAACTAGGGCTATCTATCCGGGGACTAGTACCATCTATGAATCACAAGTCTTACCTGGATTATGTCTGGAACAATTTTAAAAATCCCTCATTTTTAATTTTGACTGCACTTTCTGATAGATTCTGAGTGTTCCAAAAAATATCCAATTAGAAATTTTTTCAAAATTATTTCTCTTCCCCAGCCAGTTTACTCAAATCTTCAGAGTTATTATCAAAAGGAGCTCCCATTATAGAGTACTTGACCCATCTCCCATTGGCCTCTGTATTGATTCCTACTTCTTTCATCTTAATCTTCAGAAGTTCCTTTATCCCATACCTATCCTTCTTCTCTGTACAACAATCCTTAAGCCTTCTAATCATCAAGTCTTAAACCGTTTCATTTTGTCTAGGTTGTGATTCTCCAATGAATAATGTTTTAAAAATCTGGTCCTCCATATTTCCCCTAATTAAACATTCAGCTGTAAGAGAGTCTTCATAGCTTGACTATTAGGGTGGTGTTAAATTTTAGTTAACCTAATACGGACTTCCTCTCTTTGATCCTGAATTGTACCTTTTCTTGACAATTGGAGTTAAAAAAAAAATTATAATCATATCTTATTATTTAATTATCACATTTAGCTGCAACAATTGAGCAATCTTTGTTTAGGAATAAGTATTCTTTATGTAAGAAACTTTTCAAGAATATAATAATGCTGATTTGAAGAATCTGGATCATTAAAGTATAATTTAAATAAAATAATCATAGAGAAATATTTTATATTTCTATAAGAAATCATTTAAGCCTGCGTATATAAAATACCTAATAAAATAAAATAGAAGTTTAAACTCTTTAGTAATTAATTTAAATTAAATAACATAAAAGTATACTATCTTTTGCAACCGATAACAATAAAAATCCTTTCTTAGCTAGTTGTCTAGTGATTTACAAATTTTTTGAACAAAAAATTTAATATCCTTTAAGAATAATATAACTATTACCTCTATATTTTGTAGGATTATTAATTCAAAACATATTCATTTCAATCTTAAGGTATTAATGTTCTAAATATATTTTATAATAACCTATCACCTTGTTATAAATCAATAATTTCAGATTCTTATAAATCAGCAATTAAGTTCTGAAGTTGCTGCTCAATAAATCCTTTTTTTAAAATTTTTTTTCAACTCCTAGAGAGTATTTCACTCATTTATAAAAAAATCAATAAGGAATTATAATAGCATCAACTGAAGGTGATATTTACTTTGCGATTGAATGAATTCAAAATTAATAAAATTTAAATTAGAGTATTGTTGAAAGTCAATATCTTACTGAAATTAGTTTCAAATAAAACAGTATTAGAGAATAATAGAATTGTCTATTAAAAACAGAAGAGGAAATGACCATTATAAATTTTAGATTTGTTTTGCATCACCTTACACTAATTGGAATTTCTAACTCGAACAAAAAAAGATGAATTAAAGATCTGCCATCCCCTTCTTATTCGAGTTTGACTTCTCCACACATATCATCTATCATAAGGTAAATTAGAATATGGTTTATTCAATAAATATCTACTCAAGCATCAACTTTTCTTAAAAGAAAAATTATAACCTTTAAACGAAAAATATAATACTATCTTTCTTTTAAGAAAATTTTAATATGTTATTACGACCTTATATAGAAGAACTTTTTCTAATATTTGTATCAATCGAATCAGCGATCATCTTAAATATTTGGCTTAAAAACAGAAAATTTGAAAAGGAAGATTTAAAAATATGGCATTGCAATATTATCTGTCCGAATATCAATTACGTAATTTGCAAAGAAAATTAATTTTTTAAAAAGTTTATATGAATTCAAAACTTTAAATCGTTTAAAATAATGATTGGCATGATTTTTAGGTACCACCTTTAATAGTGAATCCTTCAAGACCCCCTTTTTGTTCTCTGTGGCCTACTATTTCTTTAAAGTTTGAAAATCTAAAGTTGATGAGGTGATAACAAAAAAAATATCAAATCCTCCTTCTACTTGCCTTTTAGTAAAGTGTGTTTAGATTTCTTCAAACTTCAGGGGAATAGGATTGATGTTCTCATAAAATAAACTCTCTAATTTATAGGAAGAATTTTGAATTTCTTGAATAATTAAAGGGCACTATGTTCTAGTTATAAAAAGTTTTTGTCTCGTCTCTCATTTTCAAATCATTATGCTTAGAAGTTTTGACAGAGCCAAATTTATTATAAATGGTCTCTAAGCAGATTATTTTGATAGGAATTATAAAATTAAAACTGAATATCTCAATCAAAAATTATTCATAAATAGACTGTTTATTAACACACCAAGAATTTCAAAGAATGAATATAAATGCGAAAAAATATTACTTTAAGTTTCGGTTATTTTATAACTTTTTTTGATACTGCATTTCATTGAAAAATATTGCAAGAAAGGGTGTCAACCAATATTATAAAATAGTGCCCTATATAACAAATTTAACAAAAAGATATTAAAGGATCTACTAAAAAGAAGTAGTACATCAAATAACAATAAAAGCATAAGTTGATTATAAGAATTTTAATTTTATCCAAAAGTAAATATTGTTTTATCGCAATCATTGCTCATAAATAACCAAAGTAATCAAATAAAAAATGATAAATTTTATATTAGAGATTAAAAAATTGTGAGTAATTGTCAAAGATAATCCAGAAAGCAGCAGTACACAATAAAACTTCTGAATTTTCCATAGGCTTCTTTAGTAGCATATCACATAAGTAGGCGTACACTGTTTAATGGTTTACTGCAGTCATTGTGTAACCTTATGTAGGATACACTTTTTTATAGATGATATGCTTTAACCTGTTAATCCAAATAGAATACTAATGTTTGATGGGATTATTTCAGGCTTTTCCAGATGGCAAGATTGTTGTGAGGTTTCAATCAAACATTTGAGGTTTAAGCCAATGAATTCTGTTGCTCGAAAATTTTAACTTGAATGAATCATTTGATTCTAGACAATAAGACTTAGGATAAATAGCATAATTTATAGATTATATTAAGTGTTATTAAACTTGAAAACTTAAGATTTAATTATTTATTCTGGAGTGATTCTATCTAATTGGAAAATAGAACTGAGGCTGAATGACTTTCAAGGGTTTAAAATAATTTTTGTAATACATTATGAATGACAAAAAAACACCATCTGGAGAGTAAATTATAAATTGAAATAAAGTTAGAAAAACAGTTAAAAATAAATTTATTAGTTTTAAACCTGAAAAAATTGAATTTATGAATAGTTTAACATAACTAAAAGCAAAGAAATAATTATATTTGATAAGCTTAAATATTCTTGATATTTTTCACTTTTTCATTTATTTTATCAACATTCTAGTTGACTGTCCAAAATACAACATCCTCTTTACTGAAATATTTATCTTAAATTTATTCCCATATGATTTACAAATTCTCCTTTTAGAATTAAGGCTCTTTCTGCTTAAAAAATTGACGTTTTGGAAATAAGAAGAATATTAATAATATTGTTTTCAAGGGGGCCAAGGAATTGATCATATACATTTTAAAAACTCTCGTCCAAAGGTGAAGTTTAACGTGTTTTCACATCCCATAAACGAATAGATCCATCATGACTACCAGATACTAATGTAGCTCCATCAGGAGAGAAGCATATTGAATTGACACAATTACTATGACCTTCTGATTTGGCTGTTTATTACCCTGTCTTAACATCCCATAAACGGATAGAATTATCATAACTACAAGATGCTAATGTACTACCATCAGGAGAGAAGCAAACTGAAATGACTTAATTTCTATGACCAGTTAATTAAAATTTTTATTATCCTGTCTTTACATCCCATAAACGTATAGATTTATCATGATCACCTGATACTAACATAGTGCCATCAGGAGAGAAGCATACTGAGTAGATGCAATAATTGTGACATCCTATTATAAAATTTTGTTATCCATTGTTAATATTCCATAAACGAATAGATGAATCGTAACTGCATGATGCTAATGTAGTACCATCAGGAGAGAAGGCTACTGAATTGACTTCATAAAAGTGGCCAATTAATTTATTTATTCTTTATCCTCTCCTGACATCCCATAAACGGACAGATTTATCATCACTACAAGATGCTAATATTGTACCATCAGGAGAAAAGCATACTGAATTGACTTCTTTTTTATGACCAGTTAATTTAAAATTTTATTATCCTGTATTAACATCCCATAAACGAATCGATTTATCTGAACTGCCAGATGCTAATGTACTACCATTAGGAGAGAAGCAAATTGCTTTGACTTCATTTCTATGGCCAACTAATTTATTTTTTTGTTATCCTGTGCTTACATTCCATAAATGAATAGATTTCTCATTACTACAAGATGCTAATGTATTACCATCAGGAGAGAAGCATACAGAGAAGACAATTTCATTTTAGCTTACTTAATTAGCTTAATTTTATTCTATTTGAACATCCCATAAACGGATAGAACGATCTTGACTACCGGACGCTAATATCTTATCATCAGGAGAGAAGCTTAAAGAAATAACACTATCCCTATGGCCTTCTAATCTTGATATTTGTTTTCTTGTCTAAACATTCCATAACAAAATGGAAACATCATCACCAATACTACTAGATGCTAATTTAGTTCCATCTGAAGAAAAACACACTGATGTTACCGAATCTTGATGACCAACTAACTAAAATTTAAGTTCTCCTGTAATAGCATCCCATAAATCGATAGTTCTTTATACACTACCAGATGCTAATGTAGTACCATCAGGAGAAAATTGTACTGATAGCCCCCAATAATTATGACAGTCTATTTTGAATTTTTCTTTTCCAGTCCTAAAATTCCATAAACGGATAGTTTAATCCCTACCAGCAGATGCCAATGTAATTCCATCAGGAGAAAAGCACATTGAATGAACTTAATCGCCATGACCACCCAGTTGAAGTTTTCGTTTTCTTGTTTTAATATCCCATAAACGAATTGAATTATCGCTACTACCTGATGCTAGTGTATTGCCATCAGCAGAGAAGCATACTGAATTGACGACACCACTATGACCATATAATTTGGATTTTTCTTGCCCTGTCGTTACATCCCATAAACGAATAGATCCATCACCATTACCAGACGCTAATGTATTACAATCAGGAGAAAAACTTAATGAAAAGATTCCATCAGTATAACCATGTAATTTGGATATTTATTTTCCCTTCTTAACATCCCATAAATATATGGAGTTATCTCCAGATGCTAATATGCCATTTGGGGAGAAGCATATACAATTTACTTTTTTACTATTACCTTTTAATGTAAATAGCTCAAATATTTTTAAATTACTCCATTTACAATTATATAATTAAGCTCCATTTAAATTCATTCCGCTTATATCTACATTTTCAAATTCTGATTCGCTTAAATTGCATTTAAAAAAATTAGCTCCAACTAAGGAAGTATTTTTAATTTTAATCTTTTCAAAACATTGTTCCTTCAAATCAACCTTAGATTCAACTAATAAATTAAGTGCATTTGATCCGCATTAGATAAATCTGATATCTATACTTGTTAGGTGAACTAAAAATTTTAAGAATTCATCAACTCCCCTTTCTTAAGATATCATTTTAATTAGATATTTTCTAGTTTTGCTGTAAAATTATGTGGTATAATTATTTCTACTAAAATCATGTTCATAAATATTTTTTATAAGAATAGTAATATTCTTTATGTTATTTATTAAAACCTATAATTATTATTACTTTTTCAAATATGATTAATCTTCAAAATGAAATATGTATTATTCATAAAACTTTTGATTTTCTTCATTTTAAAGAAATCCTAAGCAATTTGAAATATTCTATTTTCTAAACATTTCTATTAACACGCTTAATATTTATTTATCAATATATTTTGATGAAACTAAATTCTCATACAAAGCTTATTCCCATTCACAAAATAAAAATATTTCTTCATCTTCTTTTTCACTTTTTACATCATCCTCTTCTTCTTTATCTTCAACTTCTTCACTTAATTCATCACATTTTTTTTCTCCTTCTTCATTATCTTCTTTTTCACCTTCTTCATCTTCATCTTCATCTTCATCTTCATCTTCATCTTCATCTTCATCTTCATCTTCATCTTCATCTTCATCTTCATCTTCATCTTCATCTTCATCTTCATCTTCATCTTCATCTTCATCTTCATCTTCATCTTCATCTTCATCTTCATCTTCATCTTCATCTTCATCTTCATCTTCATCTTCATCTTCATCTTCATCTTCATCTTCATCTTCATCTTCATCTTCATCTTCATCTTCATCTTCATCTTCATCTTCATCTTCATCTTCATCTTCATCTTCATCTTCATCTTCATCTTCATCTTCATCTTCATCTTCATCTTCATCTTCATCTTCATCTTCATCTTCATCTTCATCTTCATCTTCATCTTCATCTTCATCTTCATCTTCATCTTCATCTTCATCTTCATCTTCATCTTCATCTTCATCTTCATCTTCATCTTCATCTTCATCTTCATCTTCATCTTCATCTTCATCTTCATCTTCATCTTCATCTTCATCTTCATCTTCATCTTCATCTTCATCTTCATCTTCATCTTCATCTTCATCTTCATCTTCATCTTCATCTTCATCTTCATCTTCATCTTCATCTTCATCTTCATCTTCATCTTCATCTTCATCTTCATCTTCATCTTCATCTTCATCTTCATCTTCATCTTCATCTTCATCTTCATCTTCATCTTCATCTTCATCTTCATCTTCATCTTCATCTTCATCTTCATCTTCATCTTCATCTTCATCTTCATCTTCATCTTCATCTTCATCTTCATCTTCATCTTCATCTTCATCTTCATCTTCATCTTCATCTTCATCTTCATCTTCATCTTCATCTTCATCTTCATCTTCATCTTCATCTTCATCTTCATCTTCATCTTCATCTTCATCTTCATCTTCATCTTCATCTTCATCTTCATCTTCATCTTCATCTTCATCTTCATCTTCATCTTCATCTTCATCTTCATCTTCATCTTCATCTTCATCTTCATCTTCATCTTCATCTTCATCTTCATCTTCATCTTCATCTTCATCTTCATCTTCATCTTCATCTTCATCTTCATCTTCATCTTCATCTTCATCTTCATCTTCATCTTCATCTTCATCTTCATCTTCATCTTCATCTTCATCTTCATCTTCATCTTCATCTTCATCTTCATCTTCATCTTCATCTTCATCTTCATCTTCATCTTCATCTTCATCTTCATCTTCATCTTCATCTTCATCTTCATCTTCATCTTCATCTTCATCTTCATCTTCATCTTCATCTTCATCTTCATCTTCATCTTCATCTTCATCTTCATCTTCATCTTCATCTTCATCTTCATCTTCATCTTCATCTTCATCTTCATCTTCATCTTCATCTTCATCTTCATCTTCATCTTCATCTTCATCTTCATCTTCATCTTCATCTTCATCTTCATCTTCATCTTCATCTTCATCTTCATCTTCATCTTCATCTTCATCTTCATCTTCATCTTCATCTTCATCTTCATCTTCATCTTCATCTTCATCTTCATCTTCATCTTCATCATCCTCATCCTCATCCTCATCCTCTTCTTCTTCTTCAACATCTTTTTCGTCATCATTATCATTTTATATAACTTCTTCAATTTCTTTAGAATCAATAACACCATTAATTTTATTGAAAGATTTCTTAAGGATCATTAAAATACAATATTACTTGATTTTACATATAATTCTTCACATATTTGTAAACTTTATCTCTCAATTCAATTTATGAATTTTGGAATGCTTCAGAATCCATTAATAAAAATATTGAAAAATAGGATATATTATATATAATTTCAACTTTTAAATAATCCTATAATAATTTACAACAAAAATACAATTATAAGAATTTGAAACAAAATTAAAGATTTTAATAGATGAATCAAAAATTGTAAATTGTGTCTAAAAATTTTTTTTCTTTATTAAATAAAGGATTCATCTATATAATAATGCAATAAGGATAGGATGTTCATGAGCATTTAAGTCATAATTAGCTCTTCTTCTACTGATAATTAGATCATTTTTCTTCCTCATTAATGAACAAGCTAATTTTTATGAGTCTGCTTTCTTTTCTCTTTAGCTGAATTTTTCAGATTCTCCTTTCTTATTCTTATGAGTTCTCTCATTCTCTATCTTTCATGGAGAATAATTTCTGATATCTCAAGTTGCTTTATTTTAAATTTTTAAGTTAGAGTAACATAAGCGTTCTCTATTTATAGGCACATAAGGTTGTTTTGTTAGGAATAACTCCCTTTTGTTTCTATCGAGATCTCAGTATCATTTTGATCAGCAATAATATTTAATTTTTATGAAATGAAAATTCATTTTCTACCCAAATCTTTATATTTTATTATTTGTAACTCTAAAAAGTCCCCCATATTTTATCGATATATCAACTTTTGCAACCATTTCAATAAAATTTTTAAATATATCTTTAATGACTATAATAAATTGCTGTCAAATTCATTTAAATTTATAGGTTGTATTGATTCAGAAATTACAAAAAAGGTTAGGTAAGCCCTTCCTTTTCATAAAAAAATTGTTCCTGTTGGCAACCCTACAGCACCGAATTCTGAAATTTTCTTAAAGATAATGAAGAATCTTTAAAATTTTTACACGCCTCCTCCTTTAATATAGCTTTTGAATCACATATTGACGTTCCCCATCCAGAAACATATTAATTAAAAACCTATGTCTCCCCCAGACTTGTAATATTCTGGAGACTTATTAAGGAGTAAGGAATAGACAGATATGGAAGAGAAGGGAAGTCTAGCAATGCAATTATAAAGAACAATAGCCCTGGAGCTATGAGTAATTCTTAGGTCTTTCCGAATTAAGAGGTCAAATTATTTTCCAGTCGTTCTAGCTTTAGAAGATTCCTTTTTTGAAATGGCAAACATTATTGCAAAGTTTACAACAGAATCAATCAGATTTAGGTTGTACGCTAGATTTTTCATCCATTAAAAGAATAAATTTGCTTTTTATTAATCGTTTGATAATTGAATATCAAATCCGATGCCTAAAATATAAATGTGTTCAGAAATCCTTTTATCGAAAACTAATTCATTTTATTGAAATAATAAAAATAAAAAAGCATATACCAAATTTTGAATATGGTATTGTAGCCATAACGAAGTAATTTTTAGTATAAAAAAGTATTTTGAACCTAAGGTTTTGCATATTTTAAAAAGTTATGTGCAGATGCTCCTGCACTTCAGAATATGATATTAACACAATTTAAAACTTACTATTTAGACTTAGAAAGTGCAAGAGTTAATCAGGCTGTGGATATAATTTTAAGATGTGTAATTTCTATAAAATAGATTTATTGCACAAATCCTTTATAAATGACACAAATCATTCTCTACCAATAGAAAAGTTTCAGCAAGGTTTGTTTCAAAATTTTTTAGCAATAAGATGGATCTATTCTTTAAAATAATACTAAGAAATTGATAGAATTAGAGAATAATGTTATCAAAGAATAATGAAATATCATGAACTTAATACTTAATTCGGATCCCTTAAATTATATTCTTCCTCAAAATTTAAACTTTAGGCCTTAATCCTACAAATCTATAAATAATATATAATGAGATTAATAAAATTAAATTAAAGACATCAAGAACACAATGCTTCATTCAGATAGAATTTAATATATTAATTTTTATATTATTGAGAGAGAAATTTTAACACTATGAAAGATAAGCTTTAGTAGCTTACACAAATTGGCCTATTTTATTAAAATATAACTTAATTTTCTAATATTTACCCAATAGACATTAATTAGCCTTAATACTAAGAATCTTTTGTCTATAGTCTCGTTCTTTCTTATTTCTTCATTTTTAGAATTTCTTATTAAAGGCAATTTAAATCTTAGAATTAGAAACTTTTATTAAATTTCTGGTTGATTCATTAGCAAATATAACATAAGTCATCAGGATAGGAAATTTTAAACTTAATTTAATATGAACACTAAAAGATATTTTTATATTTTTGATTTAATTTCTAAGTCCCAAAAATAAATGTCTGATTTTAATAAAGCATTTCACAAAACCTTTATTTCATTTTTCCGAGAAACTTGGATCTTTTTAAATATCGTGTATTAGTTTTATAACTTAATATCATTAAAATAATTTTGGTATTAAATATTAAATTGATATTTTGATTAAATTAAGATTGTTTTAATTATGCATTGGCTTAGTTAGAGTTTTTTAAAGATGGAGGCACTAAACTACAATATCCTATTAAAAAATAGAATAGCACAGAAAGAATTCAATAAATAATTTAACCATGTATCCATTTAAAGTTATTTTTGTATATTTATTCTAACAATTAGGATATAATAATAATAATAATAGTAATTGATGTTGAATAATATGTCATGATGGACGGCTTCTTTGGAATATAGCAAGGTTCATACTCGCAACGCAGGAGTTTTAAAAATATCAGTGCAGTCCAATGGTCTCATGCACTTTGGGCAGATCATCTTCTCATCAAATGATATCCCTGCCAAGCCCTACTGCTTGACTATTTCATTATAGATGCTAACCACCTCTTTGAATTCAATTCCTGGATCTTAGAATACTTTTTAGAATCCATTACGTTGGCTATTGATCCATAATCTAATTTCAGACAATCTAAACTTTCTTTGGAAAGACACGTAGACAATCATATCAGAGGCATCATATACAGCATCGATTATGCCAACATATTCTTTGATTAGTCCTTCTAACTGTGTTCCAGGACTATCATCCTTCAAAAACCTTAGTTCTGTGACAATCTTTTATTTGATCTTTTCCTAAATAATCTTCTTAACTCTTCGTTGTAGCTGACATCAAATATTCGTATTTGAGTTTCATAAATAGTTTGAGATAACTGTTCACAACATAGTCTTCGGCAAATTTAACCAACCCTCCAGGATTACTACCACAGTTAAAGACAATTCCTCCGTCTTTTCATCAACTAATTAAGCCAATTTTAGAACATCTTCGATTATAGCAATGTCAGAATGCTCCTTCTGTATCTAAGATTTAGATACTCAAGTGTAAAACAGTAAAATGAAGCGAATCTTGAGTCACAAACAGTTTAATTTTTTGATAATTATGAAAATTTATATAGATAGATATCACTATTTTTTTTGAATTTTCAGTTTAGATAATAGGAATGTTTAAATTATTCTCTTAATTCTTTGGCCAAAAGATTAATCCACTGTTTTAGAAATCATATTAGCAGCAATTATAATTTCCACAACAAGATTTTTGATTACTTATCTTTTTACATAGTAGTCTTAACCAAACAACGAAATGAAGTGATGAAAATAGTTATTTTTTATATTAAAAAGAGTAGAATTGACACCTCTTCATATAATTTCAAAATCTTTAAGAAATCCTCTTCCTGTAGATTTAATATTTTTCCTTCTTAATTGGATGCTTCTCATGGAATAGTCTTCTAACATAAAATTCTTAATAGTAAGTTGGATTTATATTAACAGAGAGCAATCAGATAAAAGGTGTATATTGAGAAATAATTTTTCTCTATCAAAATGCTCTTTTACTTAAAAAGAGTGCAGATGATTTTTTCAGGGAAAGTAGCTTGATTGAGTACAATCCTAATATTTGAAGAGCAATTAGGATGGGAGATGCAACTTAGTTAAATTAATTTTTTTTTACTTAAGTCCAGTTTTCAAAATAAAATTATTTAGCAAATTTATTTTATATAAAAAATTATTATCAATTGAAATAAATTATAGCAGATATGAAAAGATAAATGTCAAACTATTTGGAAATTCTTCATTCACGCAATTAATTATGTAATACACAAATACACTTTGAATCTCTATGGTAAAAATAATTGTTTGTTCAAAAAAATCTAATTTATGAAGTCGAGTAGATTTCAGATTCCAATAATGAATAATACTAACCTTTCAGATAAAGATTATTGTTTTAATATCGCAATTCAAATGCTAAATAAGTCTAAAATTAAGATGTATTTAGAATAAAAAGATGCTTATTTTTAGTTGTTTTTTTACCCCTCATAACCTAGGGTTAGTGAAAAGTCTGATGATATGCCCTCAAAATGAGTTGCAGCTGCGTAGGATTATTTTTCCATTTATTATTCCAAGTATCTAAATAGTTTAATCAAAAAAAATTGAAACATAAAAGAAATTATTTTGTTAAAGTCCTTACAAGTCAATTGGAAAAATTGTTTAATGTCAATATTTAAGATTTAATTTTAAAAAGTAGATTATGAATTTATTTATTTTTATTATTAGTACTTTAAAGTAAGAATTTAATAATAAGGTTCTTAATAAACTGAAAACATAATTAGAATAACCTAAATCACTATAGTTTTATTATTATAAATTGTAATAATAATATAAATATAATTTAATAAGTTGAATTAATAATATATCATAATAGCGTGCCTTAAGCGCAAACAATAGTTCAAATTTAAAGGGTCAAAGAAAATCTAGGAAATGGATAATCTTTGTTTTTTGAATAATTTTGTTATTAATAATTATAATAATAGACTTGAAAAATATTATAGTGTCAATATTTAATATTAATCATGATTAGATGTTGCGATTAATAGAGAATTAAAAAAAAAATAATAGATAATAACATTTAGTTTCTTTAAGATCTGATGATTTTTAATGTAAAAGAAATTTTCCTAAAAATTTTAGGTTTTTATAAATTCATTTTTTGATCATTGAATAATTTAGTTCAATATGATCATCTTTTTACTCAATTAATTCTTCAGAATAATTATTTTATTTGGGGCCAAATAATTTAAATTTAACATCCTTTAGGAATTCCATAATAGAAGTATTTATTGGCATAGTTTCTTCAATAACATAGTTATTTCCATCTATTAATCCAGAAATTTACATTTTTTTATTAAAATCTCCAATTAATTTAAATACATACCAAAAATTACCTTTATAAATTTCAAACTTAAAATTATTTATGGCTTAAATATTGAGGAGTTGAAATGATTTTTTATTATTAATTTAATATTATATAATGTTATCTTATATTTACAAGTCCCATATTATTTTTTCAAATATCTCTTATAGAGAGATGTGAGTAGATGTAAGAAATTACATTTTCATTTAATCATTCTCTATCATAATAATTTTTTTCTAACAAATTTTGATCTACTTACATTGATTTACAGCAAATTGATATTTTTCGATAGAATCTTGATTAGGCTATTACTTACGAATGACTAATTTTATTGTGATGCCTCCATTCTTTTGAAAATCTGACATTAATCGAATATCAAATGGTTGAACCTATATGTCATTTATAAAAAAAAAGAATGAGAAAGTAATATCAAGTTTGTAAATTTGGATTAATTCTACTAAAATATCCTGAAAAATAAAGGATACAGGAGTAGTTTGTAATTATTGCACAAATAATTAAATCATCTTATTTTCTAAATCCACTAATACTTTATATATTCTACTATTATCTATTTTTTTTTAATTTTTAAACTTATTTTTAAAATAGAATGTGCAATTATTTGTAAAACCCAAATTTTCAAGAGATCTGATATCATTTGGTAATATGTTGAGTCCATTGTCCAAGTAAAATTCTAGAGCTTCTTCATAATAAGCTTATGCTCCTTAATTAAAACATGTGTCTATTACTCCACGTAAAAAAATGTTAAAGGATATTTTTGGGTCGATGTTTATGGAAATATTAAGAGCCTATTTAGTATGTAATTCTATAACAACTTTCATATCTATATACAGGTGCTCTTGATCTTAGTTTAATAGCTATTCTAAGCTTTCATTTTATAATGTGCCTAATTAAACTTTTTTAGTAATCTTCAAGAATAATTTTCAACTAATTAATTGCATTCATATTGAAATTGATACTTAGGTATATATTTAAAAATGTAATCTTTAAATTGCTTAATTTTAGTACTTCTCCATAGATATTTTGATTCAACTTATTTTAGTTTGATTTTATATATTTGATAGAACAATTTAAAATAAAAAAAAAATAGTATAGTTTAAGATACAATAGGTTCTAAAAATATGCAANTATTTTATTTGGGGCCAAATAATTTAAATTTAACATCCTTTAGGAATTCCATAATAGAAGTATTTATTGGCATAGTTTCTTCAATAACATAGTTATTTCCATCTATTAATCCAGAAATTTACATTTTTTTATTAAAATCTCCAATTAATTTAAATACATACCAAAAATTACCTTTATAAATTTCAAACTTAAAATTATTTATGGCTTAAATATTGAGGAGTTGAAATGATTTTTTATTATTAATTTAATATTATATAATGTTATCTTATATTTACAAGTCCCATATTATTTTTTCAAATATCTCTTATAGAGAGATGTGAGTAGATGTAAGAAATTACATTTTCATTTAATCATTCTCTATCATAATAATTTTTTTCTAACAAATTTTGATCTACTTACATTGATTTACAGCAAATTGATATTTTTCGATAGAATCTTGATTAGGCTATTACTTACGAATGACTAATTTTATTGTGATGCCTCCATTCTTTTGAAAATCTGACATTAATCGAATATCAAATGGTTGAACCTATATGTCATTTATAAAAAAAAAGAATGAGAAAGTAATATCAAGTTTGTAAATTTGGATTAATTCTACTAAAATATCCTGAAAAATAAAGGATACAGGAGTAGTTTGTAATTATTGCACAAATAATTAAATCATCTTATTTTCTAAATCCACTAATACTTTATATATTCTACTATTATCTATTTTTTTTTAATTTTTAAACTTATTTTTAAAATAGAATGTGCAATTATTTGTAAAACCCAAATTTTCAAGAGATCTGATATCATTTGGTAATATGTTGAGTCCATTGTCCAAGTAAAATTCTAGAGCTTCTTCATAATAAGCTTATGCTCCTTAATTAAAACATGTGTCTATTACTCCACGTAAAAAAATGTTAAAGGATATTTTTGGGTCGATGTTTATGGAAATATTAAGAGCCTATTTAGTATGTAATTCTATAACAACTTTCATATCTATATACAGGTGCTCTTGATCTTAGTTTAATAGCTATTCTAAGCTTTCATTTTATAATGTGCCTAATTAAACTTTTTTAGTAATCTTCAAGAATAATTTTCAACTAATTAATTGCATTCATATTGAAATTGATACTTAGGTATATATTTAAAAATGTAATCTTTAAATTGCTTAATTTTAGTACTTCTCCATAGATATTTTGATTCAACTTATTTTAGTTTGATTTTATATATTTGATAGAACAATTTAAAATAAAAAAAAAATAGTATAGTTTAAGATACAATAGGTTCTAAAAATATGCAATAGAAATTGAAGAAACATTTTATACAAATATTGTATTTCTAATTGCATACGCTCATGAATTAAAATACATTCAGCATTTAGAAATAATATTACAAAAGGATTTTAAATTAAAACTTCTTAAAAAAAAAATAGATCATTTATAAAAAGAAATTTTTATCCTACATTTTAATTCATGCTATCTTTTTATAATTTATTTCAAAATAATGGAAAAGAATATTTGTTGATTTACATGATTGGTGAATCCCAAATCAAAATGGTATATTTTTCATATAGAACTTGCTTTTGCAATTGGTTAGAATTTTAATACTTTTATTTTTCCCTATTTACATAGTGTGTGCTTCATTTGATTAACAGCATCTCAACTTTTTTTCATAATTTGTAGAATACTAAGATTAATGAGACCATTACAGATGAGGGTTAAATGCTCTGAATGTTTGGTATTTTAATATGGCGATCATAATAAAGTTGCTCAAATTTTTCATTTTTTATTTTTACAAATTTATGTTTATACGTCTTTCATTTTAGAGTGCTTGATATAACTAGTAATAGAATCTACAATTTACAAGCAAAGATTGGAAAAAAGAGGTGTAGGATTAAGAAAATGAAATAATATTAGTAAGTGCCAAAAACTCAAATAGATGTAGATTATTAAAAATAATTGAGGGAGATTTAAAAACTTTAAGTACGAAAATTTAAATTCCAGGAAATACTTTTGAAGATTTGGATACAGAATAATGTTTAACAATGACTTAAGAAAGTTTTGGTTTGTAAATTCTCAAAGGATATATCCAAGCGCTTTCAGAATATAAACATTCGAATTCTAATAATTCTTAAAACAATTGCTAGATTGCTCTAATAATAAGGGAAAAATTTTAAGTTTTCACTTTGGGTCAGGAAAATTATATTAAAATTAGGTTTATAGGGCATTTTAAAATGGTTTAGATAAGCACCAAATTTCACCCATTCAAAATTATCATTTTTATAATTATTATTCAAATACTGTAGAATAGCGATAGTACTAGCAAGTATTATTAGTCTTGACTCAATAGAACATTTGTAAATTAACCAAACACAAAATCTTCAGCTTGAATAATTCTATAATTTTAATAGAAAACCTTTCTAACAATATTATAGAATTGATTATAAAGCAAAAAAATTCATCGAATAGATTTAAATGATATATTAAAAATTCTAATACCTTGTGTTTTTCTTGTTTCTACTAATAAGCAGCCATGAAATCTCTAAAAAATGTATTTGTGGACATGTTCGCAGTTAAACTCAATGCGAAAATTCTAGTTTTTGCATTTGGTAGAATGAAGCTTGTGTCTTAAACTCTGCTCGATCATATATTTAAGAGAATTAGAATGAGAGTGTATGTAACAAATTAGCAGAAGAAAATTGTAAAGTAGAGAAGTAGTGTGAATTATATTTGGGAAAATGTATTAGCTTTGTTGATTGTACCCTATTCAATAAAGATTAATGCTAACAATCATCCTTTAGATGTATTTCTGATGGTGCAAAGTGTGTTAAAATATTGGAATGTGACAATTATAAAACAGAAATAGGGTGTGCAAATAAAAATTAAAATGGCAGATATTGTTTTTGGATTTAGTAGATAGAAAAAAAGTGTAGAGACGTTGTCATTTGCGAAGAACTACCAAAATATTTAGTGAATCATGTCATGTGTAAATAAGGGTTAGTTGGCTGTACCGTAAATGAATAAGGCTAAGGATGTATTAAATTAAAGGATTCATGCACTTAATACTTCAATGACTTTTAATGTTTTGAAAGCAATTAAAGAACAGAAAACTGCTTTTGGGATTCTAAAAATCACAAATGTTTTGAAAAACTATGTGAAAATCTACTTTTTTCTTAAGATTATGAATGTAGATCATTGTTGAGTGAATGTACATCAAATGGAATTCATTGTGTATAAAGAAAGCAATGCAGTGATGCTTAGAATAAATTTGGTTGCGTTACTGACGCCTAAGGAAACAAATGTGAATATCATAAAAATTAATGTAAAATCAAAAGCTGTGACACTGCTTTAGAATAATTGACAAACTATCAACAATGTTAAGATTATGACAATTTGTTAGATTGTGTTACTTCTGAAAATGGAGGATGTAAATAGAGACCTTAAACATGTTAAGGTTATATTGGTTAAGTAGATTGTTATTCAATCGAATAATAAGATTGTATATGGTATAATAATAAATGTGAAAAAAGATCGTGTTATCATGCTCCACCTCATTATACGCAAACAGATTGTTAGCAATACGGAAATTGTATAGGTAAAGTAGATGGTGGATGTTAACAGATACCTAATACTTGTGATGAGATTTTATAAGAATAATTTTGTGAATTTAATTCTAATAAACAAGGATGTATTTGGCTCGGAGGGAAATGCACTTTGTTATAATGTAGCAGTTTGAAATTTCCAATTTATAATAGTCATAAAACATGCTAAAACGCAAGTTCATTATGCACATTCAAATTAGAAGCTATGGGTTGTGCAGAGTATTAATGTGAAAATATTTATGAAAGCGAATTTTGTTTAGTTGATTCAACTGAAACAAATTGTGCAATGAATTAAGGATGCATTGACAAAAAGTGTAATAAAGCTCCACCAAATTATTAGAGTAATTAATAATGTGAAGATTGGTTACCATATTGCACAGTCAATGTGTAACCTATAGAAAGCTCTAAGGTATTGATTGGGTGTGTCGATAAAAAGAACGGTTGCGAGTTTTTTCTAGAAGAACAATGCTATACTACGTTTTCAGGTATTAATTGTAAATGGGACATTAACGGATAAATGTGCCTTTACCAAAAATGTACAGATGCAGAACATAGTTAATATTTAACAAACGAAGATTGTAATTAATTTAAAGTATTGGAGGGTACTTGCATAATAGGATCATCTGATATTGGATGCTAACTTTGGTCGAATACTTGCGAAAATTTGAAAAGCTAAAAATAATGTGAATTAAATCTTTAAGATGGAACCAAATGTTTTTGGACAGGCAGTAAATGTAAGATATTAGAATGTTCAGATGCTTCTGTATATGATTATACAGATAATATTTAATGCAATACTTGGCTTGATTATTGTATCTTTGATTCAAAAGGAGGAGGAGGATGCATAAAAAGACCTAGTTCTATTGATTGCACATCTTCTCCAAATAATAGTATGTACGATACACACCTTAAATGTCAAGCATGGAGTCCTAAATGTACCGTCATTTCCTCTATTAATGCATAAGGCTGCGAAAAAAAAAAGTAAAATTGCACTGAATACATAAGGGAAAGAAATTGCAAAACAAATTTGGCTGGTTAAAATTGTTATTGGGATGATTTACAACAAATATGTTAATAAGAGAATAATGAAGAAGATTGTTAAAAGAAAATTTATGGAGAGATATCACATTAAAATTGTGAAAAATTTCTTAAAAAATGCACAGTAAGTGATATTACAGGAAATTGTGTACCACTTTCAAATAAATGTGATTATAAATTGATAGACCAATGTGTAATCAGAAATGATTATTAACCATGCAAATGGGATGAGATAAATCAACGTTGTAATGATGTAATGTGTAGTGATAATAAAACTGCACAAACTGAAGCTGAATGCTTAAATTTTAGAAAATTTGGTTAATGCCAATTAAAGATTAAAACTAACGGATCAAATGGACTTGGATGTGAATCAAGACCAACTAAATGTTCTGAGGTTACAAATTCCTTCATTTGTAAATTAACACTAACATAAAATGGTGAAAGATGTTATTATTTTAAGGATACATGTTAGATTGTAACAGATACTAAATGTGAAGATATTAAAGATAGTACAAGCAATGAGAATTGTCAATTATACAACAGCAAATGTATTCTATTATCCAGTGGAGTAGGATGCTACTCTTTTTCAAATTGTTATGATTTATCAAGCAATATTTGTAATAGTGCCATAATAAAATATAATCAAAAATGCATATATGATAAATACTATAATACATGTACATCTGATACTTATTGCAGTGATAAACCATTTTACGCTTGTTAAGACAAAAAGACAGGATTTGGATAATTATGTTTTTAACCTTTCAAGAAAGGCATTAGTTGCGTTTAATAAACAAAAACTTATAATATAAAATTTCAAACATAAACATCATTATCAGATAAGAACAAATAATGCTAAGACTATTCATCGAATTATAGATATGATACCACTTTTAACTGCTGCAAAAATATGAATTCGTGTGAGGAATAAAAAGGTGGAAAATAANGCATAATAGGATCATCTGATATTGGATGCTAACTTTGGTCGAATACTTGCGAAAATTTGAAAAGCTAAAAATAATGTGAATTAAATCTTTAAGATGGAACCAAATGTTTTTGGACAGGCAGTAAATGTAAGATATTAGAATGTTCAGATGCTTCTGTATATGATTATACAGATAATATTTAATGCAATACTTGGCTTGATTATTGTATCTTTGATTCAAAAGGAGGAGGAGGATGCATAAAAAGACCTAGTTCTATTGATTGCACATCTTCTCCAAATAATAGTATGTACGATACACACCTTAAATGTCAAGCATGGAGTCCTAAATGTACCGTCATTTCCTCTATTAATGCATAAGGCTGCGAAAAAAAAAAGTAAAATTGCACTGAATACATAAGGGAAAGAAATTGCAAAACAAATTTGGCTGGTTAAAATTGTTATTGGGATGATTTACAACAAATATGTTAATAAGAGAATAATGAAGAAGATTGTTAAAAGAAAATTTATGGAGAGATATCACATTAAAATTGTGAAAAATTTCTTAAAAAATGCACAGTAAGTGATATTACAGGAAATTGTGTACCACTTTCAAATAAATGTGATTATAAATTGATAGACCAATGTGTAATCAGAAATGATTATTAACCATGCAAATGGGATGAGATAAATCAACGTTGTAATGATGTAATGTGTAGTGATAATAAAACTGCACAAACTGAAGCTGAATGCTTAAATTTTAGAAAATTTGGTTAATGCCAATTAAAGATTAAAACTAACGGATCAAATGGACTTGGATGTGAATCAAGACCAACTAAATGTTCTGAGGTTACAAATTCCTTCATTTGTAAATTAACACTAACATAAAATGGTGAAAGACGTTATTATTTTAAGGATACATGTTAGATTGTAACAGATACTAAATGTGAAGATATTAAAGATAGTACAAGCAATGAGAATTGTCAATTATACAACAGCAAATGTATTCTATTATCCAGTGGAGTAGGATGCTACTCTTTTTCAAATTGTTATGATTTATCAAGCAATATTTGTAATAGTGCCATAATAAAATATAATCAAAAATGCATATATGATAAATACTATAATACATGTACATCTGATACTTATTGCAGTGATAAACCATTTTACGCTTGTTAAGACAAAAAGACAGGATTTGGATAATTATGTTTTTAACCTTTCAAGAAAGGCATTAGTTGCGTTTAATAAACAAAAACTTATAATATAAAATTTCAAACATAAACATCATTATCAGATAAGAACAAATAATGCTAAGACTATTCATCGAATTATAGATATGATACCACTTTTAACTGCTGCAAAAATATGAATTCGTGTGAGGAATAAAAAGGTGGAAAATAATTATGTAATTCATCAACTTTAAGTACATATAACAGATGTGGATATAATTTTTAGACAAATACTTGTGAGATAAGATAATGCGAGCATTTAACTTATGCTAATTATCCTGTTATTTCAGATTAAACTTGTTTTGATTGGATGTATAATTGTGTTCTTGGTGTTGATGGTTGTAAAACTTACACAACAGGAAATTGCACATTAATTAAATTAATTTATCAATGTTATTCATGGAATTGCTATTGGTAAAATGGTAAATGTGTTGATCATGTCGATTGCCAAATTAATACAGCAGCTGTGAATAATCGCGAATGCCTGTTAGTAAATGCTTAATTCTGTAGACTTAATTATACAAAAGGCTAGGGATGTGCTTTTTTTAAATGCAATGATATCAAAGACATAACAATATGTAATGCATCAAATCTTGTTGATGGATAAAATTGTATATGGGCAAGTGGAACCTGTTAAGAACGTTCTTGCGATAAATATATGGAGCAATCTGAATGCGAGAGTAGCTATGGTAAATAAAATTTAGCAATAACTAAATGCTTTTGGTGTGTAGGAACTAGTTGTTGCTCCAATAGTAATTCCTGCAATATAAGTAGCACGACTTCACCTAAATCACATCAAGATTGCAACAATAAAGATAGAATGAAAACAATAGGCTTTTCATCAAGCTAAATATGCACAATAAAAAAATCATAATGCTCTGAGTACACTTATTAGAATGCTTGTGTTAGCACACTTGAAGGTGTAGCCTGTTATTGGAATGTTAGTTCTTGTCAAAATAAATGCGAAGCAGCAACTCCTATTCCTACAACAAACAAATAGTGTCATGATTGGAACTCTGATTGTATGTTAGTTGGTTCATCATGTAAAGTCTTAAATTGTTCTAATTTACAAGTCGAATCGGAATGTATTATTTATACTAAAATGTGTGTTTGGGATGTTTCATGCAAAACTATTGGTGATTGTAGAGTATATTCTACAGAAGCTTTATGCTCAATTAACAGCAATTCAAAAGGAATTCCTTGTTTCTGGAATAGTACATAATGTTTAGAAAAAAACTGTTCAAATATACATACTGCGCCAACCTCTATGCAAGATTGCACGAATTGGCTTGTTAATTGTTAATTTGATGCCAATAATCATTAATGTGTAGAAGATTGTACTTCTGCTGCTGATTCAAATAACACACATGATAAATGTGAATCTTACTATTATACCAAAAGCTGCACTGTCAAGCTAGATATTATCTAATGTGTAGATCTTCCAATTTCATGTTGTTTTGCAAAAGAGACATAGTGTTATTTGGATAGAGATGGTCACTAATGCTTTTATTAGTAATCAACGTAAATGTGCTTAAATTTAAAGTGTTCAAATTTGGATTCAGATTTTACAAGTCATTAGTAATGTAGCAAAAAATTAAAAGAGTGCACAGTAAATAATACTTTGAATGGATGTTAATAATTGAATGAATGCAATAGTTATTCAATTCAAGATTAATGTTATTTTGATTAAAATAATATTGAATGTGAATGGATGATAAGTGAAAAGAAATGTACAATTAAGGAATGCTCGACAGCCTAACTCAATCAATATACAGCATAGAGTTGCCATTAGTATTTTGGTGATTCATGTACTGTAAATTAAAATTTAGATGGATGTGAAATAGGGTAAACTCTTTGTAAGAATTACAATTATTAATAATGCACCAGCAAGGGGTAAATGAACTTAAATAGAGTAGATTGTTTTTGGAATGATGAGAAAAGCATATGTTAAGAACGAATATGTGCAAACGGACCTTCAAATTCTTCATCTAATTCTGAATGTATAAGTTTTCTTTCAACTTGCCAAAAAGATGAGTGTCGTAAAAAAGAATGCTTTGATTACTATTATGAGAATGATTCAGCTTGTGCATCAACATTTGAAGACAAACGCTGTGCAACAAATGGAATTCATTGTGTTTTAAGAATGAAGTGTGAAAATGTAACTATCATTAATGGATGTACTTTTGATGTTAATTTAAATCCTTGTGTTTGGATTGATAATAAGTGCATAACGAAAACCTGTTAGACTGCAGAAGTTTCTCTTACGAAATATGAGCAGTGCAATTCATATTTGCCATATTGCACAGTTAAATAAGATGGAGGATGCACAAGGAAGCAGAGTTGTTAGGACTATCAAATTTAAGAAGCTTGTTAAACAGATAGCGAAGATTTCGAATGCATTTGGGACAACAATATAAATAAATGTTTCTCCAATTAATGTATCGATTTCTGTGGGGATGGTATTGTTTCAAGTCAAGATGAACAATGTGATGATGGCAATTACATACCGTATGATGGTTGTTATCAATGTGAATATTAATGTTCTTTAGGTTGTATTTAATGTGAGAAGGATAATCATTGTGTATAATGTGAAAGTTAAGCTTTTTATTTGGATATTAAGTCATCTCAATGTAAAGTAATAGTGTCCGAAGATGAATAACAACCAGAGGAGGAATAAAATCAATATATATAGTGTGGTCAGAATAGAGCTATTATCAATAATGAATGTATTACTTTATGTGGTAATGGAGTTCTTGATAGTAATTTTGAATAATGTGATGATGGAAATAGCAATGGGGGAGATGGATGCTCTTCTTTATGCATTGAAGAAGATTCCTATACATGTATCAATCAAGAAAATAAATTAAGTAGTTGTACTTTTATCTAACAACCTATTTTCAATTTGATTTTACTCTCTGATAGATAAAATCAAACAAAAATACTTGACCTTAGCTTCTCTTAAGAAGTTTATTTACAAGTTGGTCTTCTTTTTGAATAAATTATTGAGTTTGTCATCTTTCCATAGACTGAATTTGGATTATCTGTCGTTTCATTGAACAATATTTCTTCTCAATTAAGCAATCCTCATTATTAAATTACTGTTTAATTTTATTCTCCTGTAACAGATCCAATTTTTAAAATCAACATCCAATAAAATTCTATTTTGAATTAATATGATTTGGATTTATATACACATTAGAAAGAAATTCTTCTTGGAACGCCTTTAGTGTTATCATTAGCTACTTAGGAAAGAACAAACTAAATTATCTATATGAACGATGCAATTATTTATACTACAGCTAGTATTTCTGGGCTTCTATTTTTAACTGGCAATTAGATCGTATTCTTCAATTTACTAGACTTGTTATAGACCTTATCTTATATAAGATATATGCAATATAAATTTCCTCCTCATTTAAGACAGTTTCTTGAAACTTACACAAAGATTTCCTTACAACCTATTTTGGATCGATTAAAAGTTGATTAGTTTATTGCCAAACTCAATGGAGGCACTCTACCAAATTTACAAACAAAATCATCATAATAATCATAAGCCGCTGTTTTGAATTAGTTCTATTTAATAAATGCTAAAGGATGCTACTTATCTTACATTGTTTCCATTATTACTTATGTTCTTTGCTGTCTAATATCCTCGAATAACATGTCATCATGTATAGGACGAATTTTTATAAAGAATCAAGAAAAATTCAGAATTCTTAAATTTATATCTATGTTTTAGAAGAGTATTCTCTAGACATGTTAATATTTAAAGATTTATTACTTCTCTTTTGGAATATTTTAACTATTTTATTCCACGCTTCATTAATAGTTATTCAGCACTCTATTATAATTTCCTTATTACAATTTTGGTTCTCCTTTTGAATTTATTAATAGTATTGCTGCATTAGGAAGCTTAATATTTCTAGTTTAAATACTTTTAAAATTGCTCTCTATTACAACGTCTTAAATTAAGGATAAACAAAAATGGAAGTATTTCCTTTAAGATTCAAAAACTTAATTTTGGGCAGCTAATTACAAGCCATTTCAAATTTATAAAACTGTGTTCTATATTACAGTTATAATTGGATTCATAAGTTATCCTGAAGCATAATCAATCTTACTTTCGATGCAGTCATTATTTTATTTAATCTACTTGATCCTCTTTAGACCAGTAAAATCCAATTTTGAATAAGCAAAGTTAATTTGTAGAGAAGTAATACTATTAATCAACACAGGATCATTTTTGGTTTACAGTTTAGAATTAACTGATGAATAATATATGTTTTATGGATGGTTACACATAGGTTTGTTTTGTTTTTTAATAGCTTTTACTTTGGTAGTTGACATCTTCGAGTAAGTGCAAAAAGCCTATTATAACCATGTAAAGAAAGTAGAAATTAAAGAGAAAATAAAAATTTTGAGATACTTCGACAACCCATTATAAAAATTTATTGAGCTGAGAAATATAGATATGGAAATAAAAAAATGAAATTAATATTAAATTTAATTCTTTATATTATTTCAAAGAAATATTTTCTTATTCAGATGAGTTTAGAAAATCTCTAGGTTACAGTATTACAGAAATTTTTAGTTTTACCTAAAAAAATTACATTAGTGAATTATTGATATTATAAGCATCAATTTTATAAGGATAGATTTAATATTTTTCTGTTATTTGAATAAAGTCTATGTAGAATTTATAAATTTTTTTTTTTTTCTTTATATTCTGTTGAACATCCTTTTGATTTTTCGAAATGGTTTTAATAAATTCTCATTCGTAAAATAAGTATCATTTATTTGAATAGTTTATTGTACACTTGATCAAAAATTTGATGTATCATAAATTTTTTTATTGTTTTATTGCTATTCTTTAAATAATGAATTTCCATTCTCTTAAAATAAAAATAAAATTTTCTATTATTTTAAGGAAATTTACACTGAAAAACTATCTTTCAATGATCTCCAAATATTATTATTCTTCCATTTTTTCCTATTGTTTAAATCTCAAGTATTAATACATATCATTGGCTTACATTGTAATCACTTTATATGGGAAGCTAAAACTAAGATGAAATCTACAGTTGCAGATAACCTAAATTACATACTTTAATAAAATCCTAATACAAATTTCCCTCTTAAAATTATTTTAGCACGATACTACTCTCATCTAAATTATTATTATTAGAAATCTATTTATCATAATTTATATTGTGTATTTGGTTTTTATACTATAAAAGTAAAATTAGAAACTGAACGCGCCGTGTTATAGTTTATTGATGAATACTAATCATGATTAAAATGAATGTATTATCTACGTTTGATTTCATATTTGTGTCATTCACTTAATTTCACAAAAAATTGACTCTATAAATAAGTATCAATGCCTTCGAAATTTTCTGGCTACGTTAAATATTGGTGTTTTGTCAAGTTTACCCAAGTGCGACAAGTTGCCTTATTTAGTATCAGAGGACTCCATCACCAGATAAAACCTTGGGTTGAAATTCATGATATTTAGTTTCTCAAACAATATGATTGAAATTCAATTTCAAAAAGATTATTTTATAGCAAGATCAGATAAATTTTCTTCCT